TATCAAAATTTGAATACCGCCCAACCCTAGTATCTATGGAAACAAGCAGGCGACGGGCCGCTAAACAAAAAATTACATAGTGCACCTTTAAGATTAGATTTTCAATTAAGTTTTTAAAATGAAAAGCTCAGTCCAGAATCTTTACCATTTGAGAGCAGACTGAAATATGACCTACTAAACTAAACTAATACAATAATGCACCTATACATTCCGAGTACATTCTCCTGTATCACGTATACTCTGGTTGGCGTATATACTGTAACTCTGGAGTAGGGGAATTCGGCGTGCCCTTGTTTTCGCCTTCAAAAGCTCCAGTGCCACTCTGGGGGCTTCTGAATAGCTCCTGCGAGACTCACTGAATGGGCACATTTATCCTGGGGTCTGCATACACTTCCTTTTTATTGTCCTAAACGTTGCCACATTCCTGCCCTGAGTCACTGGGCGCAGGTCGCTGGTGGTAAAGCCCAACTTGAACGTATAGCTTCCTCTGCACACTTCAAGGCCCTTTCCTAATCTGATGGAGACAATAATAACGTAGTAGAAGAAGTCATTTTGTTTCCAATGTAAAGAAAACGTGTTGTTGGCTACACGAGTACATGAAAATACTTTATAGTTTGATGAATATCTGACCAATGGAAACTTGGAGTTAAAGGTCTTTACTATTACACAGTTGTGAGTCGTGTTTTAGAAAGTTAGAAGTTGTTACCTTATCAAAAACATACCTGGAGTTGTGTTTTTCTTTCATTCACACGTGTTTTTAAGGCCAAATTATTAGGGATGTAACAATAACCAAAATATCGTGATATCTTCAATATCGTCAGAGTTCTCACAATAATATCGTGGACCATCATAATATATCGAATTACAAGTCGCTTTGCTTAAATTACGAGTTATGGTGCAGCAATAGCTAAAAAAAGACAGAGGGAACTACATAGACCATGATCCTTTGCTCCATTTCAGAGCAGACTACAAGAAGAAATAACAGTTCTAAGCACTTTTAAGTCTTGACATGGCATTTTAAGAGGAAAAAATATCATATTAACAGTTTTGCTGTCACAAAATATCGCAATAAATATCATACTGTGAGATCTATGTGATGTATAGTGAAAACCAAGAGATTTGGATATTGTTACATCCCTAAACGTGAGCCTCCACACAATATTGTGAGCTTTCCCATGATATCGCAATAAATATCATACTGTGAGGTTCATACCGTGACAATATCGTATTGTGAGACTTGGATATCGTTGCACCTCTTTATAGTTATAGTATAATAATTATAGTTCTGCATCGACTCAATGCACACTTCTGCTGTCGCCTTGTCATTGTAATTTTTGATTCATGGATCTCCATAGAGGTCTACGCGCCGCAAAGTAATTCACCGCCACAACGCTAAGAGGCCAGGATTTTAAAAATGGTGTTCGTGTTTACAAAATGAAACAGGAAAGCTTGAAATGTGTTTTAATTTTATCTGCCATGTGGTATTAAAGGCTTTAAATTATTTTGTACTTTTTGATTAACTGCATTTTTTTCTACTTTGTATTTGAGACTGGTCCCTACAGTGAAGAGCACCAAAAGGACAATTCTACACAATCTCTGTACGTCCAAGTAACACTCCTGCCCCCTAAAGTTTTACCGGAAATGTATGTAGAGCCGATGTAGAGAGGACGGATCACAGCCCTTATTGTCTGTGTTGCTTTCTCCTGCTGTCCCTTGCTTACAGAATTTCGGAGGTGCACGCTGGTCAACACACACGCTCTGCAGAGGGGGTTCAAGGCGACGCAGACGATTTGACACATGACCATAAATTGTCTGTCTTTAGTCTGTCTCCACCTCCACAACGCTCTGTTCCACTGTAGTTTTCAAATTAGCAGCTCCTTTCGCCTTTTGGTCGGTAGAAATCGGCAATTCCAAGGCTGAAATTATCCAAATGATTCTTGTGAAGGTGTACGGCGTTTAAAAACACAGTGGAGCACATCCTGTATTGCCATTGTCATTCTTGTGAATGAAACAAAACACAACTCCAGGTCTGTTTGTGACGAGGAAACAACATTATAAACAAATCAGAAAATAGATTAGACTAAGGCCGTGCAGTTAATCAAACTTTGATCGCGATTTGTGTGTGAAACGATCTCCAAATTCATACAGGCATGTTGAAACAATTTAAGCTTAAAGTTTATTTTGGGGTATTTTTTTTTATATAAATAAGTACATGTATTTTATTTTTTAAACACAGAGATTGTAGAACAGCTGGATATTTATTTTTTTATTTTGGATGCATTTATGTTTTTCTATGATTTATTTCATGTTCAAAATGTATTTTATTCATTTTTTTACATCGCAAAACTGCTCTAAGGTTCATATTTGAAAGTTTTGCGTAAATTATCAATAACAAAGGGTTTTTTTGAGAGAGAAATGCTGAATAAATGCATCGTGCAACAAAAAAAAAGTCATTTGAATAATCGTGATAATGATTTTTTCCATAATCGAGCAGCACTATACTCTTTATCATTCCTTGGACTTTAACTCAATTCATTCCCTTTTTTTTTTTTTTTTATTATTGCACTGTTCTTTCTTGACCAAAACCACAATGAGCATCTTGAAACCATAACTCTCACTGCAGGCGCTGACAGGTGCAAATACAGACCTGAAAACGTAACCGCTTTAGCCGGGGAGACGAGCTGTCAGATACATTACCCATAATACCTCTGTGATCAGCCGACCGCGATTGACTTGTTGGCATCACGGAGCACGAGTGTATGATCCACATTCCCACACACTGACTCTTTAAGCGTCTCTGGTGTAATCTACATTAGCGAGCAGCGGTAATGTGACAAGCCATACGGACAGGAAGCTATCTGCACAATGTCTGATGTAACTCCGATGCCGATGCCAAGTTCCCAGAAGCCACGAACGCCACGGCCAAACCTGCTATATTGATAACATCGTCATTTACCATAAAAAGACGCGGAGATGAGCTGATGCGTTATAGGCGTGTCTATATAATGACTCAATCAGCGTATGGTTCAGTAGATGATACGCGGGACGATACTGGTGGGTACTTTTTCTTTGTATTGTTATTTTTTTGTGCTGCAGTAAGATTTCAGGTTTGCACGGTTGAATAAAATAACTCCTCATTATAGATGCAAATAGATATTTTATAGTGCATTGTGTAACTTTTCTGGTGGAGGGTCTGTCAAATGCTTTTTCTCCATGGAGGTGTTATTGCTTTGTCTGGAATGTCCCACAGTGTGGCATTAAACCTTTCTATCTTCAACGAGACCGATCCTATCCAAGTTGCAGGTCAGATCTGTGGAGACGCGACCTCGCTCAGTCAGAATGTCGGTTTTTCTGAGTGTTTTTGAGCTGTAAAACCACTGGTAATTGGATAAATGTAAAGCAGAGCTGTTTGATGTCATACTGTGGAACATTCCAGGTGATGACATATCCATAGAAACAAGCAGGTGGACAGTAGCCTGATTTCACTTTGTGGAAACTGTCTGACCTCGCAGCATTACGATTCATTTGCTCGACAGTAGGCGGGTACGTTTTTATTTAACCGATTGCTGCTATTTGGTCGTGACGTATGTAATGGTTCAAATTCCATAGGAAAAAGGGCAATAACGTCTTTCCCCTTGATAAAATTCACCAAACATTCTCTTTGTTTCGGCTTAATTTCTCGATCTCAGGAATCGTTGCCAACACACAATGTCTGTCTTCGTCTACGTCAGGGTTGTCAAACATCCAGCCCTCCGAGACCTTTAATCTGGCCCTCGGCTGATTTTCTACTAAAATATTTTTATTATATTTTCTATTAAAATATTGGTAATTTTCTGCGGTGTTTATCATATCAGCGTCTCCAGCGTCTCTGTACGTGGCTCCTCCCACCAGAGCAGCACAAATGAAGACTTGTCTCTTTCCAAACGCTCTTAAAGGACGATCGTTTTGACTGTTGACCGTGACACCCTCATCAGAAAAATGTCAAAAATTAGAAAAGTGGAGCTGAGTGCAGGATTTTGCAAGAAAAATTGACTTATTCCTATTCACATACAAGTTCATGTTAAAACTTTGTGTTGAAATTGCATTTTTCTTAATGTTTCAGGTTGTTCATAATATTGTAATATTTTGTAAAAGGAAGAGTTCATCAATTATAAAAGATTTCTGTAATAGATTTGCATTTCACTTTACAAATATTTGAACTTATTGTTATTTTTGGGGTTTATATGCCATGAGTTTTCTGATCCGGCCCCTTTGGGATCAAAGTAAGTTGGATACGGCCCCCAGACCAAAATGAGTTTGACGCCCCTGGTTTACATCCATCTCAACGCTTTGTTTACTGTTGTGCTGTTCCACAAAATGGACCCAGACAGGCGCTTGAGTTTGACGTCATGGCTTCACAGCTCTTCACTGATTGGCCGATGTGTGGTCCACAACTTCTGGGGTTCTTGCAAACCGTCTAGTGTATTCCGATTCCTGACCTAGTCGCTGGAGAGAAATGATATTGACTTACTAATTTCACATTTGTTTATTAGGAGGAGGTGTATCATGTCATTTTGAAAGGGTTTTGTAGCTCCTGTATTTAAAATTGTACAAGTAGAACATTTACTTTTTGTTGTAACTCTGCTTTCGTGTTGTTGTTGTGCCAGTGGCTTAAATTTGTTTACACTGTGGGAGAGCTGCTCACAGGAAACCCAGTCAAATCACTGATCTAAACCAGAGACCATTTTATGAGCCTGATGTCCTCAGGGGGGCGCTATCAGATGCCTCAGATTGGGACTAAGCAGAGGCATCTTATAATTCTATGTCTTTTATTTTTTTCAGTTTAGTATTTTGACTCTAATTGTATTCATTTTAAATAAATCACGTGAACAGTCGTTGAATTCAAGGGACTCATAAAGCTTCCTGATTCTGATTCTTTCAAAATGATTGTTTATTCTATTCCTTCGTGACAGGTCGTATTGGTTACAGAATTGACTTTGTACTTTCTTTTTCTCTCCTAGGATCCTCATTGCTTTTGGACTCTTCCTCCTTTCGTTATCCGTGGACTGTGAAGCTCCACACTCGGACGAGCAGAGGGGAGGTGACCGCACCCGCCACGATGAACGTCACCTCGCTGTTCTCCTTCACCAGCCCGGCCGTCAAGAGGCTGCTGGGCTGGAAACAGGGCGACGAAGAGGAGAAGTGGGCGGAGAAGGCCGTGGACGCTCTGGTGAAGAAGCTGAAGAAGAAGAAGGGGGCGATGGAGGAGCTGGAGAGGGCCCTGAGCTGCCCGGGTCAGCCCAGCAACTGCGTGACCATCCCTCGCTCTCTGGACGGGAGGCTCCAGGTGTCCCACAGGAAGGGGCTGCCTCACGTGATCTACTGCCGCGTGTGGCGCTGGCCCGACCTGCAGTCCCACCACGAGCTCAAGGCCCTGGAGTGCTGTGAATACCCGTTTGGCTCCAAGCAGAAGGACGTGTGCATCAACCCCTACCATTACAAAAGAGTGGACAGTCCAGGTAAAATATCATATAAAATCATAAAAAATAACTATGATAATATCTTCAAAAAGCTCCTATATTTACACAAAACTGATTCTTGTGAGCTACTATTTAGTTTTATTTAATTAATGTTTAAAAATATATATAATAATACATATAAGTACTAATATAGGTGGGAGATATATTGAAAATTTCCCGCTTTTTTAAGTTTGGACACACTTTTGCGTTTATTTTTCTTTTTCTTTATTATTTCCATGATTATTTCCATTGTAGTTTCTAACTGAATTCATCAAAACTATGAATGAACACAAAAACAAAATCTAAACTCAAAATAACTCAATACTTGTTTTAGATTAAAACAGTGTAAAAAACAAACAAACAAAAAAGTCACTCTAAAACAAAAAAAGTTTTGGCATTTCTTGGCACAGCTGTGAGGTGAAAACCATTTCAGGAGACTTTATCATGAAGCTCACAGAGAGAACACCTTTAAGAATTATAAACAATCAGTGTATCATTTGTTCATTTGTTTTTCAAAATAAAACCAACAATAAAAAAAACTTTTTTTTTTTTTTTTCATTATTTGTCTCAAAAACCAAAATGAAAAAAAGGATAATGATTCATTTTTTCAGTTTTTGAGTTTCTGTTTAAATGAAAAATGGAAAAAATGGATAACAACCATTTCCCGTTTTCGTGACTTGAACTGCGATGCCGGACTGAAGCAGGACTAAAACAGGTCCGGGACCAGACCAGAACCAAACCAGGACTGAGACCAGGACTGAGACTGAGAACAGGACCAGGCCCAGATCAGGACCGAGACTGGGACCAGACCAGGATCAGACCAGGTCCAGACCAGGACTGAGACCGGGGCCAGACCGGGACTGCAACTGAGACTGGGACCGAGACTGGGACTGAGACTGGGACTGGGACTGAGACTGGGACTGAGACTGGGACTGGACTGGGACCAGACCAGGACTGAAAATGGTTTAGTCCTGGTTTAGTCCTGCTTCAGTCCGGCATCACAGTTAAGTCTCGGAAACGGGAAACGGTCATTATCCTTTTTTTCCATTATCAATATAAACACAAAATCGAAAAGTGAAAAAACAAATCTTTGTCCATTTTTTCATTTTGGCTTTGAAGACAAATAATGAAGAAAACAGTTTTTTTTTTTTTTTCTTATTTTTTGGTTTTATATTGAAAAACGAATGAACGAATGATACACAGATTATATACAAATATTTTGTTGAGTTATTTAACTTTTTGCTTTACTAGATAATCCTATATATCTTGCTTCATCTAGTAGGGAACTATCATGATATTGTATCGTCAAAAGTCTCGCAATAATATCGTGGTATATCGAATATATCGAAAGTTCCTTTGCTTAAATTCATGGTTTTACAGTAGCAACAGTTTATAAATATTGTAAACTACATATCCCATGATTCATTTCAGCGCAGATGACATGAAGAAATATGTTTTTTACTTGAATTCTTGGGATTATGATGGAAATAATTCACACCAGAATCTTGTCAAGGTATCTTAAAAGCAAAAAAGTGTCTCCTCTTCATAATATCGCATTAAATATTGTACCGTGAGATGCATAATATCGTACCATAAGATTTGGATATTGTTACATCCCTCTTGTCTAGTATCTTTGTGGTTTCCTTATGTATAAAGTGTAGAATTGAAAACACTGAATGAGAGGGTGTGTCCAAACTTCGGCTGGTAGTGTAGTATTTTCTTTTTCTCACAATATCTTATTACTTACGAAATCATTTTAATCATTTCGTCATTTATTCAGCTTTTATAACTTGAAACTTTACTCTGTGGCCCTGCGTTCAGCCTGGGTGATTTATAACAGCAATTAACCACGATAACGACTCACATTCCTGCGATTGTGTGTTGCTCGCACTTGGTCTGGCTTAAATATTTTGGGTTTGCGCGAAACATCTGCAAATTTTTCTCCGACTTGATTTAAGAATTTGACCTCCTGAATTCTAGGTCAAATATGTATCTGCTCTGGCGCAGACAAAATAAATTTCACCATTTGGTCTCAGAAAATACAGGTCAGCTGACAAGATAGGAGCAGCTGTCTGTAGGGTGCCTCTGTGTGTGTGTCTTTGTGTGTCTGCATGTGTATGTGTGTGTGTGTGTGTGTGTGTGTGTGTGTGGAGCAGGAAATTCCATCTCTCGCAGAATGAGGGCTTTGTTTTGGGGCCGTGCTGTGTGCGCCTGTCCTTTTTTAAACTCGTGCGCGTTACACTCTCTTCTCCTCTTTGCTCGATAACAAAGTTTGGTAACACTTTATAATAAGGCATACCTACAAATCATCTTTTACTAAAAAAAAATAAGTGCTTAAATCAACTATACATTATTGTCATTTATACCACGGTCAGTCGGAAAACAGAGATATCTGTGCGTTTAATAATAATTTAGAAATGTGGACAAGAAGTGTTTTTACTTGTTTATAAAAAAATCTTAAAAATTTGTTATTGAATCATCTAAAAACAATTTACTAATATTTATTAATCACTAACTAGGGATGTAATATGGAGTACAAAAGCTTTCAGAAATATTTATGTGCATAGGATAAAAATCCGTAGCCAGGCTGGCGCCACCTAGTGCCTCCGCTCAGTTTCATTTCTCTCCAGCGACTAGGTCAGGAATCTGAATACAATAGACGGTTTGCAAGAACCCCGGAAGTTGTAGACGGCGCACCGGCCAATCAGCGAAGAGCTGTGAAGCCACGACGTCAAACTCAAGCGCCTGTCTGGGTCCCTTTTGTGGAACAGCACAACAGTAAACAAAGTGTCAAAATGGATGTAGATGAAGACAGACATTCTGTGTTGGCAATGATTCCCGAGATCGAAGATTTAAAGCCGTAACAAAGAGAATGTTTGGTGAATTTTGTCATAAACAGATTGGTTAAATAAAAAAGTACCCACCTACCGTCAAGCAAACAAATCCTAATACTATGAGGTCAGACAGTTTCCACGAAGTGAAATCACACTAAGAAATCCGTGCATATTTGGGAAATCTGTGCATATTTGGGAAATCTGTGCATATTTGTCTGTAGTTTAGCATAAAATAAATATTTGTAAACTCTCGAATGAGTCTATTCGTACATAAAATGTGCTGAGTGTATTTTATCCATCAGATTACAAATGAACAGTTACAATATCAAGAATTGCAATCACGAAATGAAAATTTAGGATTATGCTTTCTTCAGTACAAACACGAATTCATAGACATGACTTTACTGTCAAAAATACATCATCACTTCACAGGCGTTATTTAATCAGTCCAATCCAATGCAACTTTATTTATATAGCACATTTTATAAACGAGACAGTTTCCAAAGTCCTTTACATAGCAATGCAAAACATTTTATTCTAAAACAAAATCAGCAGAATTATGTTTCAACCATGAGGAAACAAATAGAATCAGTACATAGAATAATAATAATTAAATCAATGAACAAAAATAATAAAATCAATACATAAAAGCAGTAATAAAAAATAAAATGGATAAATAAAATAAACAAATAAATAAATAAAAGATACAGAGGAGCACAGAACTCAGAGACTTAAAACACTCCACACTCCGTTTCTTGAGGAGAAGAAACATCGATCGAGAAGCTGAACCGCATACGAACTGAACCAGGACTAAACCAGGACTAAACCAGGACTAAACCAGGACTAAACCAGGACTAAATCAGGACTAAACCAGGACTAAACCAGGACTTACTTAACATACTTAAAACACACACTATATATTTTATGTACAACTGGACTCATTAGAGAGTTTATGAATATTTATTTTATGCTCAACTACAGCCAAATATGCGCAGACTTCTATCGTATGCACACAAATATTTCTGAAAGATTTTGTACTCCATAATGTAACAGTAAACGAAATATCATGATATTGTATCGTCAGAAGTGTCACAATAAGGCCATCATCATGAGGCCATCATAATATATCACATTACAAGTCTCTTTGTTTAAATTAGCTGTTATGGTGATTTTAATGTCTTTCTTATTATGTAAAGCACTTTGAATTATTTTGTGCTATACAAATAAACTTGCCTTGTTACACCTCTAGTTAAAAAACAGAGAGAACTACATAGACCATGATCCTTTGCTGTTGTCAGTGCAGGATACATGAAGAAATAACTGTTATTAAGCACTTAATCGGCAGATACTTAAAGCCGTAGTATTTCTGTCTTCACGGAGACCAAACTAGACCAAAGTAGAGGTCAGATCTGCAGAGAAGCGAGTCAGAATGCCTGTTTTTCTAGTTATTTTTGAGTTATAAAATCACCTGTAATTGAATAAATGTGAGGTAGAGCTGTTTAATGTCATACTGTGGAACATTCCAAACAAAACAATAACATCTCCACCAGAAAAAATGCACAATGCACCTTTAAAACTTATCGTATGGCCAAAAAAATAACCAAAGTACTAAATATTGACCCCAGAAAATATTATTCCACCTTTACTACTTTGAACAAGAAGTTGATAGAGTAATTATCGTGACAGGCCTCCTCTCCGCTCCACCCAGAACACTCCGAGCTCCCGATATTCCAATTTGTGTGAGGATGCGGAGCACAGGAAGGCCCTCACCCACCACACAATGGGAGGAAAGACTTGCTGCCTGCCTTGCACACTTTTGTTTTCAGTTGGGAGGAGACCAGAGCTGAGGCTAACCACTAATGGAGAATCGTCCCCCGCGGCACCTGTGTACGCGCCGACTGCTCATCCAACTGTCAATCTCACAGCGGCGATCCTTTTGACAGACAGTTTGAGATTGATTTGATTGTTTAAGTCCAGTTTAAATAGGAAATATTATGCAAAATTGACTGTTTGGAGCTTTCTACTAGGGCCTGACCGACATGATTTTTTATTTCAGTTGATATTATACCAATAAAATGGGAGTTGGAGATATAAAAGCCGATATATTTAGAGATGTAAAAAAAAAATCATTGCAAAAAAATCACTGTAAATCTTCAGTTGATTATAAAACTTAGGTCTGGCTCTACTGGATTTTAAATTGGGTTTGTTGAGTTACTCCCTGACCACCTGAGAGCCCCACAGTCTACTTCAGTTTTTAAACGAAATCTTAAAACGTGTCTTTTTACCAAAGCCTTTTTTTTATTATTTTATTGGTTCTATGTTGTGCTCTGTAATAGTTTTAGCTTGATGCACTTTTATTCACTGTTTTTACCTGTAGCACTTTGAGATTAGTTTATGTAAACTGCAATTGCAACTGCAAGTAAATTATTATTATTATTATTATTATTATTAGGCTACATTTATTGTTTATTGTTTACATTTATTATTTTTTTATTTTATTTTTTTTTTTTTGTTTACATTTATTGTTTATTTACATTTATTGTTATGTTGTTTATTGTTATCTTAACAGTCATTTAAAGACACTAGATCGGCCTATTGGTGTTTTTGCATGACATTCTAGCCTTCAGTGGTAAATGCGTGCGGTAATTAATTATATGCGTAAATGCCGATCATTCACACCTCTATTCAGAACTCATTTACATATCAATGCAGGTCCGGTAAAGTGTGTGCAGCCACTATAGTTACTTTACAGTTGGCCAATGTAAGAGAAAATTGGCTGTTTAGGTGTGGGAGCTACAACAGCTAAGAGCTAAAGAATGAAAAAGAACCAAAAGTACCTTCAAAACCGACACATTTGTAACACTCACCGCTCATACAGGCACCTCTCAGATCACAAGTCTGCACAAATAAGTTTGATAAAAAGAAAGAGTACTTTTATTTCTGGCCTAAACTGCGCTGAAGTTCACTTTTATTTATAGTCAGTCAGTATCATGGATCAGACACAAGAGCGTTTAAAGCAAAGTCTCAGTGTTGCGCACATGGATCTTGTAAGCAAGCGCGCGTGAGTGACGTGACTCTGGGGGTGCATTCAAGGGCAGTATGGCGTCACAGACAGACAAATTACTCCGCAGATAAATACTGATGCAGCACTACATATTAGGACATTTATCTGTCTTTAAGTTGGATTGAATGGACATGATATACAGAGTCTAACCTTTATATAACAAGGTATAACAAGCCCAAGTGGACTATCGGCCCATATCGGCTAGATTTAAGCTGATAGTCAGTATGTCTAAAAGTGCCCGTACCGATATATCGATCTGGCCCTACTTTGTATAACATCGTTGCCTCTTCGAAATCACATCTGAAGAGGTTTTAGATGTTGTCCACACGTGTTTAAGTAATCTAATCAAAGAGCTATAGCTTTTCAAAAAATGTAACTCTTCAGATTTAGGCTATGTTTATATGATGAAGGTCTGAACTTTTATTTTCTGAACTTCACTTTTTATTCTGCGTTTGGATGAGCGTTTTCAGGAGGAAATCTGCGTGCATACGGTGACGCAGAACTGTGTGGAATACGATTGGGTGTACATGCCAGGCGGCTAGGTGATGACTCTAGGTGGTGATGTACACGATGTGCACGTACGTGACGTGAGCAGATCTGACCAGAGTTTTGCGTCTTGGGCAGTGTAGACGGAAATACTACGACGGAGCATATTCAACTTTTCCACTCTGGAGGGTGGCTTCATATTTTTGCGTTTTTAAGCCCCAAAAACGGCGTCATCGTCTAAACGAAAGGCTCTTCCAATAAAATATTTTCTCATTTTTATCCTTAAACTCTTTTTGTTTAATCCAAAAGTCCAAATGTCCTCTTTGTGTCCAATCTAAAAACACATGGGGAAAAAATGCATAAAATGTGCGCAATTTTGTCTCATGAGATCTCGTCCCATCCCTGTTGGTTACCTTTCAAAAAATCCAAATAGCTAAAACCCATGATCCCATTTGTGCTGTCCTGGATTACTCAACTCCCATCCATCTTAATACAAAAATCTGGCAGTGACTCCTCATACTGCGTACAGATGTCCCTGCATTTTTCAAGAGTCAGAACCCGGGGCCGGCTCTCTCTCTCTCGCTGGCCCTGACGGTATGTTTGAGGTGAGCTATTGTGGAGGAATGTTTCAGTCGGGGCAGTTGTGATCCCGTCTGCCGGTCGGCTTTGACTCACTCCCATTTGTGTCTATAAATACCGGGCTGATAAATAAAGCGTATGGTGAAACTGAAGACGAGCGCGGCGTACTGGGAGGGCTCCTGCAGGTACGGCGTGATCCTGCTCATCAATGTGGATGTTTATTCTGAAGGTTAAACATAGAAGAGACAGCTGAGGATAAGGGGGAGGAGGAGGAGGAGGGGGGGAGATGACGAAGCTCCGGTCATGATTTTTCAGAGCTTAGATCACGGTTTTGATGTAAACTAAGCGTCTTTAAACCTTTTACGTAGGAGATAATGAAAGTAAACTGTTTAAATCTGTCTGTCATCCACCCACTCCTCCAATTAGACATGGATTTTATTTATTTTATTGTGAAATATCTAAAAGGTGAAGTAACAAATGTTGAACCTGGTCATTTCACTTATCGACTAGACCCAAGAACTCACTGTATTACAAGGAAAATTGGCATTTTAACACTATTAATTTTAGCTGCCCCCATCTTTATTAAATAATATTAACCTATAGAATAATGAAAATGAAAATGAAATGAAAAAAAAAAAAAACTTGCTTGTCACCCGCTTGTTTCTAAGATGTCATTGCTCCGTTATTTATTTATTTTTTTATGTATTTCTTATACTATTATTCTCATACTTACTCACACTTAATACAGATCCATAAGGAAAGGATTAGTAGTAATAATAAATAAATATATTATTATTATTATTATTATTATTATTATTATTATAATAATAATAATAATAATAATAATAATAATAATAATAATAATAATAATAATAATAATAACATAATAATAATAACAATAATAATAATAATAATAATAATAACAATAATAATAATAATAATAATAACAATAATAATAACAATAATAACAATAATAATAATAATAATAACAATAATAATAACAATAATAACAATAATAATAATAACAATAATAATAATAATAATAATAATAACAATAATAATAATAATAATAATAATAATAATAACAACAACAGAAACTCAAATTAAAAACTAAAAAGGTATAAGCATCTCAACAAAGGGCTCAAACCATATTAAAATTAAGAACACAAGAAATAAACAATAACAATAATGATTATTATTATTATTACGACATCCCTAATACCATTGAGCAAATACTCCTACTCCTATTACCCTCAAAAGTTTTAGAACACCGCACTTTTTGCACACTGTTTACTGTTGACCAAAACATAATCTAAACTTTTGATTCATGAAAGTGTCCACCTTTGGCAGATTTAACAGCTGAACACACTCGTGGCTCGTTTTTTTTACAACAGAAATCAAATATTCTTCAGAAAGTTCTTCCCAAGTCTGTTGCAGAAGTTCCCATAAATGTGTGGCACTTGTAGGTTGTTTGACTTTCACTCTTCTGTCCAGTTCATCCCAAACCAGCTCGATGGGGTTTAAGTCTGGACACTGTGCTGGACACTCCATGTTTTCAAGCTTTACCATCTTGTTCTTTTTTCCTGAGGTAGTTTTGGCAGAGCTTGGACTTGTCTTTTGTATCTTTTATCTTTTTTTTGAACCTGCTCAGTATTTACCTTTGTACCATTTCAAGCTCTTCATTGAACTTGCACAGCTTGAATTGCAATAAATAACTGGAAAAATTAGGACGTTCTAAAACTTTTGAACAATAGTGTATGCGCCGATAATTTGTTATTCTCCATGGCAATTCGTTTTTTTAGATTGTTCTGATTGTGAATTGTGTTTTTCAAGTATTCTAAACATAAATTTGAAATATGTATTCAGTAAATTTCCCCTCAGAAATGCACAATATGATGAACCTAATAACATAAAATATCAGAAGACCAAATGAATCTCAATGGACTATGATGTTGCTCTGTTTGGAATGTTCCACAGTATGACTTTAAACAGCTCTACCTTACATTTATTCGATTACAGGTAGTTTTATAGCTCAAAAATACCATGAAAAACAGGAATTCTGACTGTGAGCTCCACAGATCTGACCTGTAACTTGGTCTGGTTTGGTCTCCGTGAAGGTAGAAAGGTTTAATATCATACTGTGAAACATTCCAGACAAAGCAACAACATCTCCACGGAGACAAGCATGTGCTACGCCCTCCACCAGGAAAGTTACACAGCGCATCTTTAAGTCTCTCGCGTGTTTCTCTCTTGTGTCTCCAGTGCTCCCTCCGGTGTTGGTTCCACGAAACAGCGAGTTCAACGCCAAGCACACGATGCTGCCTCGCTTCCGTAATCCTCTCCAGCAGAACGAGCCGCACATGCCGCAGAACGCCACTTTCCCAGAATCCTTTGCTCAGACCAACACCATGCCTTTCCCCCAGTCGCCGGGCAACAGCTACCCGAACTCTCCGGGGAGCGGCAGCAGCGCCACCTTCCCTCACTCTCCGTCCAGCTCCGACCCGGGCAGCCCATTCCAGATGCCAGGTGAGACCTTCAACTGAGTAATAAAGCCTTAAATTTCACAGGTGTTATTTGATTCTCGATTTCGATACTGATACTCAGTGCTCGATACTGATACTGATACATACACAGAAGCCATCAGTAGCCCGGGCCGCGCCTCTAAACCAGGACTAAATCTAGGTCAAACCTAGATCTAAACCAGGACTAAAACCGGGTCTAAACTGGGTCTGAGTCAGGTCTAAACCAGAACAAACCCAGGACTAAACCAGGACTAAAATCAGGTCCAAACTAGGTCTAAACCAGGTCTAAACCAGGATTAAAACCAGGTCTAAATCAGGACTAAACCAGGACTAAAATCAGGTCTAAAGTACGTCTAAACCAAGTCTAAACCAGGATTAAAACCAGGTCTAAATCATGACTATAACCAGGTCTAAACCAGGTCTAAATCGGGACTAATTCTAGGTCTGAACTATGTCTAACCAGGTCTTAAGACTAAAATCAGGACTAAAACCAGGCCTAAAGCCGGGTCTAAACTAGGTCTAAACCAGGATTTAACCAGGATTAAAACCAGGACTAAAACCAGGACTAAACCAGGGCTAAATCTAGGTCTAAACTAGGTCTAAACCAGGACTAAAATCAGCACTAAAACCAGGAGAATTATTGTATTTTTTGAACAATAGAAACACCCAAAATTAATAAATAAATATGCATTTCATGTCATACTATGGGACATTTCCAGATAAGGCAGTGGAGCACCCTTTACCCAAAAAGTTGCATCTGCACCTTAAAATATGAACTAAATATATATATATTTAAATTTTATATATGAAAATCCTCACAGTATCCACCCTTTGCTTTGTCACCACTGCTGCAAACCCTTCCAAGCAAAGGGTGGATATTTTTAAATCTAAAAATCGCTTTATAAAATTAGTTTATTCATAGTTTTGATGTCTTCAGTGAGAGTCTACAGTGTAAATAGTCATGGAAATAAAGAAGAAAACAAACGACCAACTGATGCCACACTGAAATTGAATTAGACGTTTATAGAATAGACTTCTTTCCTGTTATTATTTTTGGCATGAAGTGTGAATGATGGTGAACGCAAGGGTGTGAAGAGCTGCTTTTTCACAGACTCCGTGCATTAAACGAGCTCTGTCAGTGCCCATCCTCACGGTTTGATATCTTAAAGGTCCTATATTACGCAGAATGGACTCTTGAGAGCTTTAAATCGTGTTATAATGTTATTACCTCATCAAAAACAGACCTGGAGTTGTGTTTTGTTTCATTCACATGTTTGAGTAACTCTTTTATTACCTGGCCCTCGAAGGGTTGACCAGGTTTTATATTCACCCTGTGTGTGTTTGTGTGTCTGTCCACCTGTGATAATTCCGCCATTTGTGGACCGATTGTCACCAAAATTGGTACGTGGGTCAAGCCCCCGTGCCCGATCCCACAAAAAAAGTTTGGTGATGATCCGAGGTCATTTGAGGTCACACGGGTCAATTGAAAGGTCACACTATTATGAAAGAGAGACCAATTTCTGCAATTTCTGATCCATGTGCGGTCTAAAATATTCACCCAATCATCACACAAGTTGGCACACACTTAACCGGAGTACACTGGATATTACAGGTTGAAACCGGTCAAGTTCACTTGAAGGTCAAGATAACCAAGGTCAAATTTGTGTTTTTGGTCATAACTCAGCGAAGGATCGAGCTAGAGCAATGGTGTCAAACATAAGCCCCTGGGGCCAGATCCGGCCCTCCAAGACCTTTAATCTGGCCCTCGGCTGATTTTGTACTAAAATATTTTACTTATATTTTCTATTAAAATATTGTTAATTTTCTGCGGTGCTTATCACAGCAGCGTCTCTGTACGTGGCCCCTCCCACCAGAGCAGCACAAATGAAGACTTGTCTCTTTCCAAACGCTCTTAAAGGACGATCGTTTTGACTGTTGACCGTGACAACCCTCATCAGAAAAATGTCAAAAATTAGAAAAGTGGACGCTGAGTGCAGGATTTTTTGCATACAAGTTAATATTAAAACATTGTGTTGAAATAGCATTTTTCTTAAAGGTTCAGGTTGTTCATAATGTTATAATATTTTGTAAAAGAAATAATGCATCAATTAAAAAAGATTTATTTAACTTATTTAACTTTATTTAACTTATTGTTATTTTGGGGGGATATATGCCATGAGTTTTCTCATCCGGCCCCTTTGGGATCAAAGTAGGTTCCCGGACCAAAATGAGTTTGACACCCCTGAGCTAGAGCAACGTGAGTGGTCTCAAAATCTCAGAAAAAACTATTATCCATTCATAATTCTATGCATTTGTATAGTAAAATGTGAATAGTTTTCGAGATATTTACTAATTATAACAGTTCCTTTCTCTTTCAGTGTATGCCGATTCTGATTGGAACGAAAATAATTTTGATTTCTTGTTTTTCTGGTGATACACCACACACTGATCTACAGTCACACAACTAACATGTACACAACTCATGCATACACACATTGCATTGTGGATGTAACAATCATGTAATATGGACCGGGCTCCTCATAAACTGACTCTGTGGTGATGAACTGACCCCACCGATGCCTCATGGGGACCAGGTTGCTGTCTCTGATTGCGCTTGTTCTTAGTCTGTCTACATCTCCAAAGCTCAAAATGCTCTTCTGATATTCTGATTACCACATATATTTATTTATTTAAAACAAGGACAGTGCACAGAAAAGTATTCACCTCATAGAGAACAGATGCTCTGTGCCATCTTTAGCTACAAGCTTCTTTCCATCGTCAGTCCTTGGGCAGACACAAAACAAATTAAAGAAAGTATTTACATTAAACCACCAATAACAACAACATTTCATCAATAACAGTGGCTCCTTAAAATAACCACAATCCAATTCATCATTAAACATTTAAAACAATCAAAAATCATTCATTCTAATTCCATAAATACAACATTTCAAATTCAACATTATCTTCTAAAAATACTAAATAATTCATTGTCATTGATGTTCTCTAAAATGTGCACTTATGACCGCAAGGTAGAACAGAGCGTTTTCAGTTTGAGAGAAGAGCTCAGACTAAATGTGCAGGTTTGTGTGTTGAACATGTGTAAAAGAAACAAAACAGCAACTCCAGGCATGATTGTGATGAGGAAATATTACGTTAAAAATAAGGATGGGGTGAGACACAGTTTTCACGAGACGAGTTCAGGTCCACGAGAACGAGACAAAACGAAATTGTGACATAATTTGTAATAACTAAGTAGTGCAATTTATTTCACAGTGTTGGCTTCATTTATTTTAGGTAATACTTAGAGGTCATTGTAGTGGCACTTTTTGGAAGTACGGCTTTTCAAATTGTAAAACTCACCCGCTCTTAATTCATTTTAGTCCAAGTCAAAGGTAAATTCAAACCATCTCATGAGATTGTTTTCCTCATGTGTGCATGATCTTGTGGCAATTTTTGTCTCGAGAGATCTTATGGCAGACATGTCAAACTCAGGCCCGGGGTCACAAATAGGCTACAAATAGGCTGTAAAGACATTATTTAATTAAAAGGTTGTTATTATTTTATATTTTGCTTGTTCTGGATTAAATGTTTAAGCAAAACTATTATTAAACATTTATTTTAATAAGAAAAGGTTTAACATTACATATCTCGAAAGAAGAGAAAACATGCAGACGTCTTGCCTCTTACCTCTGTGAATTTGAGTTCGACACCCCTGACTTACGGCACGAGATCTTGTACCAGCCCAAACTAAAATGTATTTTAATCTCAAAGGGACCATACACATAATAATTACTTGTCAATTAATCATAAAAATAATGGCTCAAATCATTAGATCTTGTCACGTAAACAGAAATATTTTTTATCATTTATTCCTACTGAATACTGAATACTTGAGTACAAAAACTCTCTTTTGTTAAACCATATACCTACAACTTACCCTTTATGCTTTCTCTCTCTCTCTCTCTCTTTCTCTTTGCTTCACAGAGACCCCGCCTCCTGCCTACATGCCCCCAGAGGAGCAGATGACTCAGGACTGCCCCCAGCCCATGGACACAAACCTCCTGGCTCCTCCTTTACCCCTAGAGACAAACAATCGCTCCACAGGTACTCGTGTTGTCTGTAACTATACTAACAATTATAGTAACATTTCAGACTTGATTTTGATACGGTGTAGACTCAGTATTTAATAGAGAGAAGGTGCTGATACCACAGTGATAATAAAAGCACAATAAAATGCCATTTTCAACATTAAAAGGTCCATATTACCCTATTTTCTGATGTTATAATGTTTTTTTCCACATCACAAACATACTCTGAGTTGTTTCATTCACATGTTTAACACCAAACCCTTCTTCTCTCGAACAAAAAAACACTGTGCTCCACCTTGTGATGTCATGGGGTAAAACAGGAAGTGCTCCATTGTGTTTTTAAACTCCATACACCTTCACTAGAATCATTTGGACCCTTTCAGCTCTGGAATTGCCAACCCCGACTGAACTAAACATAAAAGGTAGCTTCATGACATCACAAGGTGGTTCATTTCTCATTTTTTTAGTTTAGTTTATTTGTTTAATAAGACAGGGACAGTGTACAGTATACATTATCCTTAACACTAGTTCTAGTCTAGTTGTAGTCCGTGAGCAGTAGGGATGGGAATCATTAAGAAGTTGCAGATACGATACATACTAGGGATGGGCATTCGATGAAATTTTCTTAATCGATCGTCGGAAGAATTAACGATCGATTATCGATTAATCATTAACGTTTTTATATTAAAATGATCATCATTATTATTACTATCTGCACTACTAATCTGCATAAATAAATTCAACTTTACGACATATAAACCGTAACGACTCTAGAGCCACATCAGCCCGTTTGACATTATAATGTGTTTAATTCAGTTTTGTTCAAATCTCACAGAAACAAAACTTAAAACTGCATCACTAATTTGCATAAACTCAGCGAAGATAAAACTACAGCTCTTGTGTCGCTGATGCGGTTCAATTTCTGTTGGATTAAAAGACATGACTCAGTGGAATACAGGTTAGTGTGACCAGATTTGCGTTTGTCAAAACCAGGACACCGTACGGGGGGAGGGAGGTGGGGACTCGTCATCGACATTGCGCGACTCTCACCTGGTAAAACTTTTTCCCACTGGACACTGAAACATATGTGCTGCTTTGTTCACTGTGCACATGGACTCACACTTGTCCCGAACGCAACGGAAAGTGTGGAATTTCTTGTACAAATCATCGTTAAATACGCATTTGTGCTTCGGTACGTTGCAGACTGACCGACTGTTTGTGTCTCGCTCCTTCTGATGCAGAGACACATGTACAGACACCTGTTTGGTCACACTACACACAGCAACCTACATTCGGTTTGTCGATTAAAATGAACGTAATCGATGAAATTCTTAATGATCAATTATCAATTAATCGATTAATCATGCCCATCCCTAATACATACCTCAATACAGTGCATTTTTTGTTCGATACGATATATATTTCAAATCAATTTGATACAGTTCAATAAAAAATTAAGGCTAACTCATGGCTGTGATACTAAAAGTCTTTGTTAAACCACTTCTTGTGCAAAGTTCATATAAAACACAAACATTTTAATCCTCAAAACAGTGAAAATGTCAAATATGTAGAACTGTAAAAAATACTTTTGGTGATATATCGGTACAGTAGGCCCCAATATCGATATTGTATCATACAATATAGCCTACCGATATTTCGATATTTTTGCTCACCCCTAGTGGACAGGCTGAAATTATAGTTTATAAAATCAAACATACAAAGAAAATGTCTTCGCTATGACCAGATTATCATAAAAGTTCTGTGTTATCATTCATACTGTCAGCTTCTCCTGGAGGCAGCCTAAACAGAGGATCTTAAGAAAGAGACTTGGAGAGTTAGAAAAGTTCTCAGACATGTCTCTTTATTTGAGTCAGGCAGATTCAGGTCTCAAGATTCAAGTTGATTCAGCATGATTTTGCCTACGCGGCGTCTCTCTGTGCGTCGGTCGTCCCTCGACAACGCGGTCGGCGTTTCCCCCACTGATGCACAGAAAAACTGGGTGCCTTTTATACCAGCATAACTGTTGAGTTAGCATCTTCATGGAAACTTACACAGCACTTTGTCCCAACACGTGTCCCATAACAGGCTGGCAGATGCTAAAGGTTGGAGACACACCCCTTATCTGTCCCATATACATTCACAGTCCATATGACATCATATCCCAACCCCATTGACACTCCAAAGTCCAAAAACATACACAACATGTCAAGGAACACAGATTAATTACAGGGCGTATTAACATATGAATGAAACTTTAAAAACACAGGGTAGAAGCCCACAATACCCAGTTCTAGTTTGAGTATCGATACCTGCTCAAATGAGTCTGTAGTTTCGATATTAGTCTAGAATCAGATTTTTGACATTTCGCAGCCCGATCTCCCGCCCTCCCTGCCTTTGCTTCACAATGATCTCATCACATAAAGCTGTCTGCACCTGCTCGCCTTGAACTCCAGGTGCAAGGATTTCTGAGAAGTCTGGGGAGTTGTTTTTAAAGCTTCATTTCCCCTGGTGGTTTGAGTCCAATTAAAAAAAAAAAAAGTCTTTATCACCTTTGGCTGTGACTTAGATTTAGAGCTGCCATCTGCAAAGGCAAACCCAGGGGAAGCTCGGCAAACCTCAGCTTTTACGAGCGCTATAAACGTAAAAGCTTATGTCATCTCTGCTGGTGGTAACGACTTAAATCTCGTTAACAATAAGATGCACTAATTTACTCTTAAAGCTGCGATCTGATGTAAGGCTGTAATTGCCACTGTTTTAATTGAACAAACCAGAGAATTGTGGTTTATATGAATTAAACGAGCCAATAAAAAGCACAAAAATGACAAAAAGCAGCCCGTATCTATAAATAGCCTACACGTGTTTTAAATGCTCCTCACATTCACACTGGAGTTGGCGTTCGTTTAAAGGTCTTATATTACACACAGTGGATTCTTGTGAGCTTTAAGTTAGTCTATAATCTTGTTACCGTATTTTCCGGACTATAAGTCGCTCCGGAGTATAAGTCGCACCAGCCAAAAAATGCGTAATGAAGAAGAAAAAAACATATATCATTCGCACTTTTTGGGGGAATGTATTTTATAAAATCAGAGACCAGGAACCCACATTTTATCTTGAAAGGCAAGTTACAGTAATAACAACAGAACAGAGAACAACAGGCTAAATTGGCATTAATATGTTAACGTAACGTAATGTATTATGAGCAGTGTTGGGAAGGTTACTTTTAAAATGTAATCCCCTACAGATTACAGATTACATATCCCAAAATGTAGTTTGTAACGTAATCCATGAAGTTATTTAAAGTGGGTAATGTAATCTGAATACTTTGGATTACTTGATTTGCTGTAGAGAAGCAAAGACGAGGATGGTTTAGACCTGGTTTAGACCTGGTTTAGACCTGGTTTAGACCTGGTTTTAGACCTGGTTTAGACCTGGTTTTAGACCTGGTTTAGACCTGGTTTTAGACCTGGTTTAGACCTGGTTTAGATCTAATTTAGAGCTGGTTTTTAGAGCTGGTTTTAGACCTGGTTTTTGGTTTTAGACCTGGTTTTAGACCTGGTTTTAGACCTGGTTTTAGACCTGGTTTAGACCTGGTTTAGATCTAATTTAGAGCTGGTTTTAGACCTGTTTTAGACCTGCTTTAGATCTAGTTTAGAACTAGTTTAGACCTGGTCTTAGTCCTGGTTTAGTCCTGGTTTAGATCTAGTTTAGATCTAGTTTAGTTTCCGGCAATGAGTGGAATTACTGGGAAAAATAAATAAATAAATAAAAAGCGGGATATAGCCCAAAATGTGAAAACGGGAAAACAGGAAAATACCACCATGTAATCCATTTATTTCAACAAAGTAACTGTAATCCAATTACCTCTCACTGAAACAGTAACTGTTACTGAATACAGTTACTCATCATTTGTACTCTGATTACGTAACTCCGGTACATGTAATCTGTTACTCCACAACACTGATTATCAGTTATTCAGATAATTATAGCATAAACAACATAAGTTTACCAAACTCACGATCTCACTCCAAATCACTAAATCCATTCAATTCTTCATCCTCGGTGTCACTTCTGCGCGACCTCCAGAGATAAACCATAGATCCATGAGCTAAACAGAGCGCCGCTTCCTCTTCTGTGTAGCTGTCGTCAGACTTAGCATCAGATCCAGAATTATTCCAGCCAAAAAATACAGTACTTCACCAAAAACATGCCTGAGTTGTGTTTTGTTTCATTCACACATGGATTATTAGGCTGCCTGCTTCTCCAAAAGTAAAAATGACCAGTTCTACTTTGTGTTGTAGTGGTAGTTTTCAAGTTAACAGCTACAGTTTACCTTTTGTTCACTAGAGATTCGGTCAATTCCAGGGCTAAAAGTGTTCCAAATGATTCTAGTGAAGGTGTATGGAGTTTAAAAACACAGTGGAGCACAATATCACAAGTGTTTTCTGTGTGAGAGAAGAACTCAGTCTAAGGGCCTGTTTACACGCGAACGCTTGGGGGTAAAAACGACTAAATATTTTATCGGAAGTGCCTTTCGTTTAGGCAGTGAGAGCGTTTTTGGGCGCCACCTAGTGCCTCCGCTCAGTTTCATTTCAGGTCAGGAATCAGAATACACTAGACGGTTCGCAAAAACTCTGGAAGTGCGAGTCAGACACCAGCCAATCAGCGAAGAGTCATATATTCTCTGTTGTCAACGAGGATTTAAAGCCGGAACAAAGAGAATGTTTGGTGAATTTTATCAAGGGGAAAGACGTTATTGTCCTTCTTCCTACGGGATTTTGGAAAAAGATTAAAATAGCAGTTAGCCCCGTTAGCGGCACATTACATATGTCATGACCAAATAGCAGTGATTCATTAAATCAAAAAAAGTACCCGCCTACTGTTGAGCAAACGAATTCTAACACTGCAAGGTCAGACAGTTTCTCCGAAGTGAAACCGACTGATGAATCAGGCTAAGTTTTTGGGGCTTATGAAACACTCTGCCTTAGTGTTTCCGTTTACACTGCCCAAGATGCAAAACTCTGGTCAGATCTGCTCACGTCACATACGCGTTTACGTCACATACATACAGTACACAGAAACGTGTCGGATGGCATGCATACCCAATCCAATTCCACACACTTTTGCGTCACCGTATACACGCAGATTTCCTCCCGAAAATGCTCGTTTTAACGCAGAATAAAAAGTGAAGACGTGACGCCGCTTTTGTGTCTTCTGTTCAGACCGTCATCATATAAACATAGCCAAAATATGCAGGTTTTGTGTGTTTAATGTGTGAATGAAACAAAACTCAACTCCAGGTCTGTTCTTCTTGAGGAAACATTATAATATAGATCAGAAAATTGTGGAATACGAGCCCTTTAAGGTTAAGGCAAAAGTAAAAAAAGGACTGAAAAAGTTAAAGCATATGGTTAAAAGTTCCTTCTTCAATGTCCTTCTTCACTACCCCCATCAAAAAATACATTTAAAAAGCTGACACTGCAAGAAAAACAAGACTTTTAATTAATTAAACTTTGAACTTTTAACTAGAATTGAGTGATTTAAAAAATAAATCTTTCAAGTGCCCTACCCTTTTTTTGTTTATTTCAAGCGACAGTAGTGTGTAACTTTCTGGGGTTGGTACATCACCTGCATGATTCCATGGAAGCAGAAAATGAAAACAATACTTTGGAACATTTTCCATGGTAGTAGATATGTTTTATGTCATGGATCTGTGGAGGATTGCAGTGAAAGAAAACAACATTTCCATGGAAGCAAACAGGAGGATTCCAAGTAAATCGTGTTTGTGCTTAATTCTTATTTGGCCTGACTTCTAAGCAGTAAGAAGAACTCAGTCTAAATCTGCAGGATTCCAGGTCTGTTTTTGAGGAAACAACATTATAACATAGATCAGAAAACATTGTAATATGGGCCATTTAATAACATTCAAGCACTTATTATTTCTAGAATAACATTTTTTTTTCCAGTTTACTTTAGACTTAAACTTAAACTAAATGTATTGATCCACAAGGGAAATATTTTGGACACAGTAGTTCACACGTCACAATATAATAAAATAACGAAGAGAAAAATAATAATAAAAAAAATAAATAAATATAATAATAATAAAATAAAAGTAATAAATGGTAATAATAAATTCTAAATAAGTTCCAGAAATAAGGCAAATTATATAAATGTACAAATAAAACTAAAAAATATATAATACAAATATATAAGAGGTCTTAAAGGTGCAATGCATAACTTTTTTGGTTAGGGCTCCGTCACCTTCTTGTTTCTATGGAGACGGCATTGTTCTACCTTACATTTATTCAAATACAGGTGGTTTTATAGCTCAAAAATATCTTGAAAAACAGGCGTTCTGACTGTGAGCGGAGTTGCCTCTCCACAGATCTGACCTGTAACTTGGTCTGGTTTTGTGTCCATGAAGATAGAAAGGTTTAATGCAATCCGTGTATCATTCGTTCATTTGTTTTTCAATATAAAACCAAAAATAAGAAAACGGAAAAATAACTGTTTTCTTCATTATTTGTCTTCAAAACCAAAATGAAAAAACAGATAATGATTAGTTTTTTCAGTTTTCGATTCTGTGTTTAAATGAAGAATGGAAAAAATAGATAACGGCCGTTTCCTGTTGCCGTGACTGTGATACCGGACTGAACCAGGACTAAAACAGGACTAAACCAAGACTAAAGCAGGACTAAACCATTTTCAGTCCTGGTCTGGTCCTGGTCTGATCTCGGTCTGGTCCCGGTCTCAGTCCCGGTCTGAATCACAATGTGGTCCTGGTCTGGTCCTGGTCTGGTTCCGGTCTGGTCCTGGTCTGGTCCCAGCCTCAGTCCTGGTCTCAGTCCCGGTCTGGTCGGACCTGGTTTAGTTCTGGTTTAGTTCTGGTTTAGTCCTGGTTTAGTTTAGTTTGGTTTATTGATTTAAACACAAAATCGAAAAATGAAAAAACACAAAAAAAAAACAAAAATTTCATTTTGTTTTATAATTTTCTTATTTCTGGTTTTATATTGAAAAACAAATGATACACGGAAGCAATTGACGGACCTTCCACTAGTATAGTTATACAAATGTACCTTTAATTAAAAAAATAAAATAAAAACAGTGCAAAGATGGAATAAAAATAAGATCACAGTTTACACCCACATAGGAGATTACCAAAAACCCTCCAGTATTCCAAGTATTTCTCTATAATTGTTGCAGTCAAGGTTCATTCGTCCTACTGGCTGGTGTGGTGACAGCTCTGACGGGAAGATGTGTTGAAATGCATTGTGGGGGTTTGGGGAGTTCTTTAGCACAAGCTGCATCCTGTTAGTGCGGACTGGCCTCTATTGTGGAGCGGGTCTGGGAAGGTGACAGACAAAACACACCTGCTCCACAGTGCCATGTTTCAGAGGAAGTTTGGGAAAAGTTTGGACAGGACAAAGCGAGTGGGCGAGGGCAGCTGGCACCCGCGGGCGCAGTGCACAGAGAGCGAAGCCCGGCGCGTTATTGGAGTATAAACCTACACTGAAACGCTTTAAAATCAGTCAAGAAATAACCAGCGTGCAGGCCGTGCGGGTTTGCGTGCAGATGTGTTCGAGGCGAGTCTGTCGAGTTATGAATCACAAGGAACTGGAATGGGAAAGAAAAATGACACACGCATATTTTCTATTGTTATTGGCTTTTAAACACCAGTAGCTCTTGAGTGAATGCATTTCAAACATGCAAACTGTAAAACACAACTCGTGACACTTGTGAACTTTTGCTTTTGGCTTGTACTCTGAAAAAACATCTGTATTTTTTTATTCTAAATTCCAGCTGATTAAAAAATGATAAATGATAATGATAATTTTTTGGGCATGATTTTAGAATTAGAATTTATTTATTTGGAGGATAAACCCCTTGAGATGTCTTGTCATCTTGTTTTCGAGGGGGTCCTCACAACAACAAAAGACAGATACAACAAAAGACAGATACAGTAGGGCAGACAGTAGGATACATAAATTCAAAAAAGCCTGAAAACAACAAAATCAGCACAACCACAAACACACTCACTCACACTTGACTGTTTGACTTATAATAAAACAAGTTTGAGGAAAAAAAACAACCTGATAGTCACAAGATGAACAACACAAATTGAACTAATTTCGATTTCACTTATGTTGTATGTTCCATTGTATAAGAATGTAACATTTTTACATGCCCAAAATAAATGCATAAAATAAAATAAAAATGTATAAGAATTCACCTTTTAACTATTCAGCATATATATTTTCAAGTCCTCAAAATCAAAATAAGTAACAACCATGGAAAATGCTGTAGAGAACCGATCTGATTGTAGCCAGATTCATCAGCCGGTTTTACTTCGTTTTACTTCGTTTCACTTTGTACAAACCGTGTGACCTCGCAGTGTTAGATTTCGTTCGCTCGACAGTAGGCGGGTACTTTTTATCATTTCAAAGAAACAGAAAACGCACACCAAAACTCTTGTAGAGGTGCAAATGCAAGGAGCAGCCAGACCACTTTTAGTATCACAGCCATGATTTACCCTTTATTTTTTATTGAACCGTATTGAATTGATATGAAATATATTGTATTGAATCGTGTTGACTGAAAAACTCACTGTATCGAGATAGTTATCGTATCGGCAACTTCTTAATGATACCCGGCCCTGCTCCACATAAAGGTTCTTTTTAACACTGATCTGACATAACATAACATAGACATAACATTGGAAAACCAAATTGAACCTCTCTGAACTTTATTCAAAAGGTAAATTTTTCATTTTGAGTTTTAAACATATCAAAAGTGAGAAATTCAGCTGCATTTAAAATTCTAAATCTGATGAAACTTCCAGGTTGTAGTTTTGTTCAGTGTGTCTTGTGTCTGTCTTTTCTGCACACGCTCTCTAACCGTTTAATGTATTTCCTGTGCAGATGTGCAGCCCGTGGCCTATGAAGAACCCAAACACTGGTGCTCCATTGTTTACTACGAGCTCAACAACCGTGTGGGGGAGGCGTTCCAGGCTTCCTCCACCAGCGTCCTCGTCGACGGCTTCACAGACCCCTCCAACAATCGCAACCGCTTCTGTCTGGGCCTCCTGTCCAACGTCAACCGCAACTCCACCATCGAGAACACCAGGAGGCACATCGGCAAAGGTGCAGTAGCCCAAAGACATGAGAGTAAAGGTGCAGTAGCCCAAAAACCCAAAGACATGAGAGCAAAGGTGCAGTAGTACAAAAACCCAAAAGACACGGGAGTAAAGGTGCAGTAACTCAAAGACATGAGACTAAAGGTGCAGTAGTACAAAGACAGGAGAGTAAAGGTGCAGTAGTACAAAAACCCGAAGACATGGGAGTAAAGGTGCAGTAGTACAAAGACACGAGAGTAAAGGTGCAGTAGTACAAAAACCCAAGAGACACGAGAGTAAAGGTGCAGTAGTCCAAAGACACGAGAGCAAAGGTGCAGTAGTACAAAGACACGAGAGTAAAGGTGCAGTAGTACAAAAACCCAAAAGACATGGGAGTAAAGGTGCAGTAGCACAAAAACCCGAAGACATGGGAGTAAAGGTGCAGTAGTACAAAAACCCAAAAGACATGGGAGTAAAGGTGCAGTAACTCAAAGACATGAGACTAAAGGTGCAGTAGTACAAAGACATGGGAGTAAAGGTGCAGTAGCACAAAAACCCAAAGACATGAGAGTAAAGGTGCAGTAGTCCAAAGACACGAGAGCAAAGGTGCAGTAGTACAAAGACATGAGACTAAAGGTGCAGTAGTACAAAGACATGGGAGTAAAGGTGCAGTAGTACAAAAACCCGAAGACATGGGAGTAAAGGTGCAGTAGTACAAAAACCCAAAAGACATGAGAGTAAAGTTGCAGTAGTACAAAAACCCAAAAGACATGAGAGTAAAGGTGCAGTAGTACAAAAACCCAAAAGACATGAGAGTAAAGGTGCAGTAGTACAAAGACACGAGAGTAAAGGTGCAGTAGCCCAAAGACTTGGGACTAAAGGTGCAGTAGTCTAAAGACACGAGAGCAAAGGTGCAGAAGTACAAAGACATCAGAGAAAAGGTGCAATAGCCCAAAGACTTGAGGGCAAAGGTGCGGTAGTTCAAAGACTCAAAGACACGAGAGCAAAGGTCTAGTACACCAAAGACCCAAAGATATGCGAATGAAGTTGCAGTAGCCCAAAACATGCGAGTAAAGGTGCAGCCGCCCAAAGACATGAGAGCAAAGGTGCTGTAGCCCAAAAACCCAAAAACATGAGAGCAAAGGTGCTGTAGCCCAAAAACCCAAAAACATGAGCGCAAAGGTGCAGTAGCCCAAAGACCCAAAGACACGAGCAAACGAGCAGTCGCCCAAAGCCAATGACCGCAGACAGGGCTGAATCAATCTGTGCTGTCGATATTTGCCGAGGATTAGGAGGTGGAGGGGAGAACAGCCATAACAACAATGTGAGCTGACTGCAAATGTATTGATTTTGGGCTGACCATGTTTTCATTATTGTTTCTGCTGATAAAAAGCTATACATTCATACTAACATACCATCGCATTCAGTGTTTTTTTGTCCTTTATTTTTCCTACCGTCTATATTTTAAATACACATAGAAGACATCAGATATATGAAGAAAGATATGTGGAATTATGTAACAAAAAGTGAAATAATAATACATTTTTTAATATTTTATATTAAAATCCTCAAAGTAGATACTCTTTGCTTTGTCAGAAATTACTACACAAGTCCATAAATCTTGCTTCATATATTTGATGTCTTGTCTAAAATGTAGAAAGTAGTCAAAATTAAAAAAAAATAATAATAAATTGAATGAAAGGATGTGTCCAAACTTTTGACTTGGTCGTGTATGTTTAAATACCAGCCAAAAGGTTGGACACACTCTCTCATTCAATGTTTTTACTTCTTTATTTTTACTACTTTCTACATTTTAGAAACATACTGGCACAAGATATAAACAAAAACAAAGTAGGAGACTTTAGTACTTTATTACTTATTATTTTACCCTCACATGAAGTTGTAAAACTGTATAATTCTCTTCCAGATTATCCATAGAGTCTGTCCTCCGTGAATAATCTAAAGTCTAACAAAGCTGCAAACAGATCAGTGCTTACAGTTTCAGCTGCAAAGTATCAGTACAAATAAAGTGAATTAGACTGGATTACTGACTCTGCTCTTCTCCAGGTGTGCATCTGTATTACGTGGGAGGGGAGGTGTACGCCGAGTGTCTGAGTGACAGCAGCATCTTCGTCCAGAGCCGTAACTGTAACTACCACCACGGCTTCCACCCCACCACCGTCTGCAAGATCCCCAGCGGCTGCAGCCTCAAGATCTTCAACAACCAGGAGTTTGCCGAGCTGCTCGCCCAGTCTGTGAACCACGGCTTTGAGGCGGTGTACGAACTCACCAAGATGTGCACCATCCGCATGAGCTTCGTCAAGGTGAGATGGAGTTTTAGACTGGTTTAAAGGGCCCATATTACTGTACTTTTCAGACTATAAGGCGCACTTAAAATCCTTTAACTTTAACTTAAATTGACAATGCACCTTATAATCTGGTACGCCTTATATATTAATTCTGTTTGTGCTTACTGACCTCGAACGGATTTTATGTGGTACACGGTGCTCAAAAATCTGTCAAAATGTTTTAGTACGACTTTGGTGAGATATTGTCCACTACCTGCCAATGGATCTCTAAGGTTATCAGACAAAATTGTCGTCCTAATGTTTTGCTTAATGCGCTTTATAATCTGATGCGCTTTAATCCAGTGCGCTTTATAGTCTGAAAAATATGGTACGCTGTTTTCTGAGCTATGTTATAATGTTGTTTCCTCATCATAAACATACCTGGAGTTGTGTTTTGTTTCATTCACACATAATTTAACTTTATACAACTTCACTAGAATTGTTCGGAATCACCAATCTCTGCTGAACAAAAGTGAAATGTCAGCTTTTAACTTGAAAAACTACCACTTCCTGACATCACAAGGTGGAACTTTGAAGACTAATAATAAAAGATTACTAAAACATGTGTGAATGAAAGAAAACACAGCTCTAGGTGTGTTTTTGAGGAAGTAACAACATTCTAACAAGGCTTAAAGCTCATAAGAGTCAGTTTTGTGTAATATAGGACCTTTAATTGCCCTGTACCTGATTGTTTTTACTGTTTCTTTTATTAAGTAAATTTAGACTAATATTGCAAATGAGCAATTTATAACAATGATCCACTGATGTCATTATGTCTTCTGTAAAATATTTACTTTTTGAACTTTTGGCCATGTGATAATGTTATGTCCTCATTGCAGTTGCACATGGAGAGCTCTTTTGTGTTTTTAAAGCTGTTTTACTAGCTTGTCAAACATTTCTCAGGTCAGTTTAGGGAATGTGTAGGCTTTATTCACGCTTACTTCACAAACCAAGAAGACGTTTGGAAAGATGCGATTACAACTTCCTGCGGGCTCTGTTCACTATAGTAAGTCTGACAAAATCTAGGAAAAACTGGAAAATGGCTCAGTTTTCTTCATCTAAGACTACGTTCAGACTGCAGCCTGAAGTAACCGATATTTTATATCCGATTTTTTTACCACTATGCTCCTGTGTCTGATCTTTTAATGACAGTCTGAACGACACAGATCTGATTTTTTCAAATGTGACCCAGGCCACTTGGATATGTGGTCCTAAAACCGATACATATCCGATCTTTTGACATGCGTCTTCAGTCTGAACGGCCAGGTCACATTCATCCCACCTACACGTCACAAATGTACACAAATGTTCTTCTCGTCATACGAAAATCGTGTGTGAACTCCGTGTCAGTGAAGGAGCGAAGCACATCTGAATCCCATCATTCTTGGCAGCGACTGTGCACCCACACGTTCCTTTCTACGGACGTCGCTGCCACTGCCCCACAAAACGCCACGGTCAAAAACCTCATCCTTCTCATCCTCAATCTCCTCCCTAAAACAAATAAGTTGTACATGTTCTGGCTCCAATACGACAGCATCGTTAAAATCTCTAGGTGCTCAATGCTCGCGTCCATGTCTCGGCGACTTCTGTAAACGCTGAGCACACTCGCTGCCTGTGATGTAGTCGTGTCCTCTGATGTGCATGCAGGACACTTTTGGAGCATTTAAAGTTCACACTGGAGATCACATACAAGTCACATTTAATTGGAAATGTGAACGACCTCGCAAAAAAATCAGATTTCACCAAAAAATCAGAATGGAGCATTAAGCCCTGCAGTCTGAACGTAGCTTAAATGCCATTGTAGTGTTCCGTTATGTTCGGCTGATCAGCAATTACAACAGTATCTCAGCTTTCATCATTTCCCCACTGAAACACAACTCAACGCCAAATCCAAGATGATTCCAAATAGCACATACGTTTGCAGTCTTCATTTTACCGCTGATCACATTTACTTCAGTGGGTTTGATCACAGTCGGTCGGCGAGTCCAGTGTCGGAAACTACACCGAAAGTCGTCATCGCATGTTTCCAAACGTCTTCCTGGTTTGTGAGCGTAAGCATGAGTAGAGCCTCTTGAATCTCTTTGTTCCGTGTAATAATAAGAATGCTTTACTTTGTCACAGGGTTGGGGCGCAGAGTACCACCGCCAGGATGTGACCAGCACCCCCTGCTGGATTGAGATCCACCTGCACGGCCCCTTGCAGTGGCTCGATAAAGTTCTAACCCAGATGGGCTCCCCTCACAACCCCATCTCCTCCGTGTCCTAGGTTTTACTCCCCGTTCGCCCTTGCGGCTGTCCATACCCCAGCATTTTGGTTAACGTAGCAAGAAATCAGGCTAGCTGGTCCCAGGCTGGTTTGTGCTTCGATCGGTCGCTCGGAGATGTTTGAGATGAACCACAAGCTGATCTGGGGCCTGTTTTGTTTGTCCCACCACGCTGTTCAGTGCTTTTGGTTGGTCTTGTACTTGAAGGATCTGAATTGGGCACATTTTAGTCTGGGAGAGGATTCAAGCGACAAGAGCGTGATGCAACTGGAAGATACTTGATCTCTGTGACCAACTGTAATAATTAGAACACCCATCACACTCGTTAGGATGCGTTTCTTCTCCCAAATCTCTCCCCCCCTCTCTTTCGCCGATCTACAATTCTGACTCTCGCGGTGTTACGTCCATTTTGTTCCTTGAAATCTCGAGATGCGTTCATGTGTAGGAAGATAACGGGACATTCCAAATCACGGAGATGGTTGGATGCAACGATGTCTGAACAAAGCAGAGACTGGGAGCACGACCAGCACGACTAAAGTGAAGATCACAAAAAAAAACAAAAAAACTATAAACTTTTCAACAGTCTAATGAAATTCCGTACCATGAATTTTAAAAAGGGGTGGAGTTCGGGTGGGTTTTTATTAAATGGGGCATGGCACTAAGGGCATTTCAGACTAGTCTACAAAGTATTGTAAAATAGTTGGTCATATTGTGTTACTCTTGTGTCCTAAAGACTTTAAAGGGCCAATATTACGCTATCTTCTGATCTATGTTATAATGTTTCTGTCAAAAAACATACCCGGAGTTGTGTTTTGTTTCATTCACACATGTTTAACACACAGATCCTGTATACATAGGCTGAGCTCTTCTCACAAACTGAAAAGACATCTTGTGATATCAGGTTTTAATACAAGAAGTGTTTTTTTAGGCTATGTTTATATGATGACTGACTGAACAGAAGACGCAAAAGTGGCGTTGTGTCTGCACTTTTTATTCCGCGTTTAGACGAGAGTTTTCATTAGGAAATCTGCATGCATACGGTGATGCAAAAGTGTGTGGAATTCGATTGGGTATGCATGCCAGACAGCTCGGTGGTGATGCACGGCGGAGATGTATGTGACGTAAACTCGTATGCAACGTGAGCAGATCTGACCAGAGTTTTGCGTCTTCGTAGACGTAAACGCTACAGCGGAGCGTTTTCAACTTTTCCACTCTGGAGGGTGGTTTCAGACTTTTGTAATTTTAAGCCTCAAAAACTAGCTTGATTCATCAGTCGGTTTCACTTTGTAGAAACCGTCTGACCTCGCAGCGTTAGAAATCATTTCGCTCAACAGTAGGCTGGTACTTTTTTTAATTTAATGCGCCACTAACGGGGCTAACTGGTATATTAAGCTTTTCCCAAATCCCGTAGGAAGAAAGGCAATAACATCTTTCCCCTTGATAAAATTAAATAAATAAAACATTCTCTTTGTTCTGGCTTTAAATCCTTGATCTCGGGAATCATTGCCAACACAGAATGTCTGGCTCTTCGCTGATTGGCTGGTGTCCGAACTTTCACTTCGGGGTTTTGCGAACTGTCTAGTGTATTCCGATTCCTGAACTAGTCGCTGAAGAGAAATTAAATTGAGAGGAGGAGCACGAGGTGGCGCCAACCTGGCTACCCAAAAACGCCGTCACTGTCTAAACAAAAGGGACTTCCGATAAAATATTTTAATCATTTTTACCTGCAAGTTCTCTTGTAAACAGGCCCTTAAACTCCAAACACCTTCACTAGAATCATTTGGGTGATTGCCCTTGAATCTCAGCTAAACAAAAGGTAAATGGAAGCTATTAACTGGAAAACTACCTCGTCACGACGTCACAAAGTGTAACAGAGCATTTTGGGCTTTGGAGATGTAGACAGACTAATAATTAAGGATTACTCGATGTGTGAACGAAACAAAACACAACTCGGTTAAGTTTAACAACATTATAACGTGGCTTGAAAATCACGTTTGCGTAATATTGGCCCTTTAAACAGGAGAATAGTGTTGTCCGGATATACTCACTATAGAATATGTGCTGTGCATTCTGGGTTTTGCAAGGCATAGTTTGGTAAATGTAGAGTTACAGATTTAAACCGTAGCTGAACACAAAGCAGAGACAAACAATACACTGTAGTTTGTCCGTTGTTGTGCAGCAAGTATGTCTCATTTAGAACAGAATGGCTGTGTCCGATTGTCCACACTAGAGGACGCTTTTTTATGGGTGTCCGAAAGTCCAGTGTGTAAAAAAGAAGTGCACTCAAAATTTCCCACAATACAACCTGAAAAGTAATGGGCATTGATGGTCACTAGACTGATCAATATAGACCACAGTGCATTGCAAGAGTTGGTAAAACAACAGCAGACAGAGACAAGTGTTAAACGTAATAAAGCAGATTAAAGCGCTGGTTTATCGCACTCTTGATCCTGATTAATTTGAATAAAACACAATTAAATAAACTGTTATGGTGTGAAGGTGCTAGTGTTCGCTCTTTAACTTAGCTCAAGATGTTAAAATATGAATAATTCCCACATCTCAGACAAAAAGCGGATTGATCCAGTCTATTTACGAAGGCCTGTCACGGTAACAAGTTTTGAAAGACGATATATTGCTGAAATTGTACAAACGATTATATTCAGACTAGTTTATGCTACTAAAACGATAAACCAAGAGCAGATTTAAACCACAAAAACTATTCTGAATGTACAATATTGTTTAAAAAAACACAAGCTGCAGAAAATACATAGAAGAATGAAATACTGTAATTCTTAGTTTGCATCTGTAATGAGTCTCAGAAGCAGAGGCGGCGCTACCATTAGGCAAAAGTAAGTAAACCTGGAGGGGCCCCCAACCAATTGCCCTCAGTGCCACTAATGTCCGAGGCCTCAGAGCAATTTGATTTTCTCTCAATATGACATTAAATGAGAGTAGTTTACTTTTAAACAATAATCAGAAGAAAACTAAGAATAATCATATGTAATGGATGTAAACAAAAATGTAATTGTTGCAAAAAAATAAAACTACTTTCAGTTCTGGTTGTCTAGTAGTCTCCCTAACTAATAAGACAACTTTCCAATCCGCCATAATTCAAATAAATAGAGATGTTCATGTCTCAAGAACAATGAGGAAAAACAGGCAATAAATATATTAAAACAAAACAACTATTTTACTGGGGGCCCCAAACTCAAGTTCGCCTAGGGTCCCCAAATTGCTAACTCTGCCACTGCACAGATGTGATTAATTTAATCTTTTACAGCTCAAATCTCATTATATAGACATAAAAAAAATAAAAATGTACTAGTAGTGCAAATAAAATGTACACATAATAAATACTGATGCCAAAAACCACATTGTTCCATCTGTCGTATATTGAACGATAAAAACTTGTGTGGTCCATAAACACTCCTGTGCCAGTCGGATTTAATCATTATTTATTATAGAAATCAAGTTTTATCAGAGTTTGTTGGACTTTTTTTCCACCCAAATGTAGTGATCTGCAAGTCTGAATCGCTTTGTGAATGAGACACTAAAGTCCCTTAAAGAAATATTTCACATCAAAATCTTGTCAAGCTATTTTAAAAGCAGAAATATGGGGGATTATAGGTACTATCAGGTCCTGGATCTAAAAAAATGAACTTAATAGGAGTTGATTTGTGGCTGCACAATGATTTAAAAAAAAAAATTAAGAATTAAAAGGGAGTCTAAAAACTTTTTGAGGCGATTGTAGAAGCTTGTCAGAGATGTTGGTCATCAAAAAAGTTAACTTCACGTGGATTTAACACCAAAATGTTCTCGGCATCCATTACAAAGGACTTATTACAAAAATAAAATTAACAAAATCTAAATGCTAAGGTTTACATTTACCTTCAAACAGATAGAAAATCACAAAAAATAAAATACTGCAACACACTTTATTTCTTCGGGTCCCAGGAGGATATATTGAAGTCAATGTTTTAATTATCTTGACAGGCCGATGTTTACGTGGGATTCAGCTTGACGAAAACTTGTATGATCCATTGATACTTGTGTGCCAATCAATTTTAATCATTATTTATTGTAGAAATCAAGTTTTATTAGAGTTCAGTGGACTTTTTCACCCAAATCTAGTGAGCTGCAAGTCTAAATCGCTTTGTGAATGACTACAAAGTCCTCTAAAGAGTCTAGGACCTTGTCGTGAATGAAAGGTTAGGGACTGGGGTGGACATTCGGACACAGCCTACGCGTTTGTTTTCAGGGGAGTCGACAGAGGGGGGCGCAGTCGTCTGTCGTCCAAGAGGCTTAAAAATTGCCTCTCTTCCTATTAATTTATATCAGAGGGGGGCCCACGTGAGGATTCTTGCCCCGGGGCCCCCCAAATTTCTGTCGACTGGCCTGTTTGTTTGCATTTATTACATAGACTGAGCAAAAACTATGACTGTTAAGGAAACCCCTATGTAGTGTTATCTATAAAAAGAGTTACTGATGTCCAGATGTGACTTGTTGTTTTTATATAAAATGTAAATGCAGATGTTGCCATTTCATCCTTTTTGTTTGCTTTGAACAGTCCTATTTGCTATCGAACTCGTCACATTCTTTTTGTATTTTTGAATGCTTTCTTTTTAATCCTTTGCACTTTTACATATCGCTCTGTTTTTGTCCCTATGTTTTTGTTGTGTCGGCTCAACAAAACTCACAGAAAGAGGGTGATGGGTGATGCGGCGATGAACGTGGAATCGTGAGCATCTGCTTTTTTTTGGTCGAATCGTCTCTAAGGCTCTGAGTGAGTGGCAGCTGGATTTTACCAAACAGTGAAGTGAAAGTGAAAGTGAAAGTGCGTTTGACAGGTTTTGACGAGTCTCTAACTTCTACGTAAAGATGTAACTTTTCTGGTGGAGGGTCCGTCAGATGGTTTTCTGAATTGAAATGTTATTGCATCATCTGGAGTGTTCCACAGTATGGAATTAAACCTTTCTATCTTCATGGAGACCAAACCAGACTAAGTTACAGGTCAGATCTGTGGAGAGGCGACCCCGCTCACAGTGAGAATGCCTTTTTTCTAGGTATTTTTGAGCTATGAAACTACTAAAACTGTGATTTAATAAATTTACATCCATGTATCATTCGTTCATTCGTTTTTCAAAATAAAACCAAAAATAAGAAAACAAAAATATACTTTCGTCATTAATTGTCTCCAAAACTAAAATGAAAAATTTATAATTTTTTTCAGTTTTTTGATTTTGTGTTTAAATGAATAATGAAAAAAAATGGATAATGGCCTTTTCCCATTTCTGTGACTTAAACTGCGATGCCGGACTTTTGCGCCGCATATGGACCTAACCAGGACTAAAACAGAACTAAACCAGGTCTAAACCAGGTCTAAACCAGGACTAAACCAGGTCTAAACCAGGTCTAAACCAGGACTGAACCAGGACTGAACCAGGTCTAAACCAGGTCTAAACCAGGTCTAAACCAGGACTAAACCAGGTCTAAACCAGGTCTAAACCAGGTCTAAACCAGGTCTAAACCAGGTCTAAACCAGGACTAAATTAGTCTCCATTCTGGTCTCAGTCCCGATCTTGTCCTGGTCTCAGTCACCCGACAGTCTATGTGGGTGCACCTCCGGGTCCGTCCTAACACTGAGTCCTGGTTCAGTTCTGGTTTAGTCCTGGTTTAGACCTGGTTTTAGTCCTGTTTTACTCCTGGTTCAGTCCTGGTTTTGTCCTGGTTCAGTCCGGCATCGCAGTTTAAGTCACGGAAAACAGACGTTATCCGAGTTTTCCTTTATTCATTTAAACACAAAATCAAAAACTGAAATTTTGGTTTTGGAGACAAATAATGTAAATAAACAGAAAACAGTTGGTTTTTCATTTTCTTATTTTTGGTTTTATTTTGAAAAACAAATGAACGAATGATACACGCATTAATGTAAAGTAGAGCTGTTTAATGTCACACTGTGGAACATTCAGGCAGAGCAATGACATACCCATAAAATCAAGCAGGTGATGGACCCACAACTAAAAACGTCTCTGTTGTAAATATAAATTATAATTTTACACAAATCATGAACTAATTTGTGAAAAACATGTTGAAAATTGCAGGAAGTAGAGAGTTCAGACATATTAATCACATCACACTAGGCCAAATTTACACTTTAGTAACATTTTTTCTACAGTTTAAATGTGATTTCAACAATTACTTTTTTTTTTTCCTTATATTTTTATTAGTCAAATTATAATTTCAATGTACATTAGAGGATTTTTGGTTCAGTGTCTTGATTTCTAACCAGGAAGTAAAATTTGAAACCTAAAAAATGAACAAACTGGATGAAACTTAAAGGTGTATTGTGTAACTTTTCTGGTACAGGGTCCACCACTTCAACTCCATGTTTTCCGCAAATGATCTACAGTACGACATATCATTTAACTATCGCCATGGAGACGGGCAGACCGCATCACCAGGCCAAGTTACAGGTCAGATCTGTGGAGAAGTGGACCCGCTCACAATAATGACGCACGTTTTTGCAGAAGTTTTCAGAATTAAAACATTTGTAATTGGATAAATGCAAGATATATTGGTTTAATGCCGTACTGTGGAACATCCCAGGTAAAGCAGTAACATCACCATGGAGACAAGCAGATGGCAGACCAGAAAAGTTACACAGTGCACCTTTAAATATCTTTCGGTAGCCCAACCTGTCATAGGCGCTTGAACTTTTATACGAAGCAGATTATTTTATTGACCTCCTAAGGGCATTACAAAAATAGTTAAAAGTTAATTATGAATTGTGTAAAATCGAAATCGTGATCTGGCTCCAAGGAAATCATGATATCAGTTTTTTGTCGTATCACCCACCCCCACCCAGAAATAGCTGTTTTATTCCATGAAAATGTCATGTCTCTACTGGAAAAATAAATTTGTTTCATTACTTAAAGTCTGAGTCTCTGGGGTCTTTGTGTACTGGGGATTGTCAGAAGTATCGAAAATCAGATACTAACTGATACTAAAACTAGTGTTGAAATTAGATATTCATTTGGGTAAGTATCAGTACTCAAAAAGTCACATTCACAGGACAGAAATGAACCTTTCATGAAAATCTTTAGAATGATTTTGAGTTGTATCAGAACAAGTATAAGAGCACATCCATCCATCCATTTTCTTCCGCTTATCCAAGGACGGGTCGCGGGGGCAACAGTCTGAGGAGGGCCTCCCAGACTTCCCTCTCCACACACATGTCCTCCAGCTCTTCCAGGGGGATCCCGAGGCGTTCCCAGGCCAGCCGAGAGACATAGTCCCTCCAGCAGGAGGCATCCGAAACAGATGCCCGAGCCACCTCAACTGGCTCCTCTCAACGTGGAGGAGCAGCGGCTCTACTCCGAGCTCCTCCCGTGTGACTGAGCTCCTCACCCTATCTCTAAGGGAGCGCCCAGCCACCCTGCAAAGGAAACTCATTTCGACCGCTTGTATCCCCCCCCAACTGCCACCTTACCGTGGTGGGGGAGTTTGCGTACCCGAATGATCCTAGGAGCTATGTTGCCCGGGGCATCACGCCCCTGGTAGGGTCTCCCATGGCAAACAGGTCCTAGGTGACGGGGCAGACTAAGAGCAGTTCATAGAACCAATATGAACAGTTTAATATCGAGGACCGTTACGTCGCCCGGTATGGCGCAGCCGGGGCCCCACCCTGGAGCCAGGCCTGGGGTTGGGGCTCGAATGCGAGCGCCTGGTGGCCGGGCCTTTGCCCACGGGGCCCGGCCGGGCTCAGCCCAAAAGGACGACGTGGGTCCACCCTCCTGTGGGCTCACCACTCGCAGAGGGGTTCATAGGGGTCGGGTGCATAGAGGACTGGGCGGCGGTCGGGGACGGGTGTCCCGACGGCCTGGTCCGCACACACAGCACCTGGCTGTGGCGACATGGAATATAAGAGCACATCAAGTTCAAAATTTCAAAAACGTTTATTGTCAATTCTTTGTACGAAAAAACAAAGAATCGACACTGTGTTTCTCACTCTCATGCGTATAAATTAATAATAAATGCATAGACCAGTATACACCCATGCAGCACTAGGGAACCAACCTGGACCATTGAGGGAGAACACAGATATAAAACCACATGGGAGTAGAAAAGAAAGTACTGTGATTTAATATTGAAACTCACGTTCTGTTGTCTAAAGGAAGAGTGTTTTTTATTATTATTGTGGTATCAGAATCAGTATTGAGTATCGAGTCTGTTCCTTGGTATCGATATCCAGTTACACTGCAAAAAACAAAATCTAGTCAAGTTAAGATGACTTGAATTAAGAAAGTTTTATCATGGTTTGAGTAAATTTCACTTGAATAAATCAAATAAAATAAAATAAAATGATTTGCCAGTGGAATAAATTTTTTTGTATTTGCTATATCTTGCTACACTTTAAATAAGAAAAACATCAACTTTTTGCACTTAAAATAAGAAACAAAATCAAATGTTGCTTAAATTAAGAAAAACACTTATTCCATTGGTGGATAATTTGACTTGTCAAGTTGAATCGACTCAAATAAAGTAAAATTTTCTTAATTTAAGTCATTTTAACTTACCTAGATATTGTTTTTTTCAAGTGTAGAAATTTTATTAGGATGACATTATAATTAGGATGAAATTTGTTAAATAAAATGATTGTTTTAATATGTATTTATTGTTGTATTTGTATTATTGTGTATGTATTTATTTATAGTTATATATTATTTATATTTTTATATTTATTATTAAAATTATCTAAATATTATATTACGATGATATTTTATTAGGGACAAAATATCGTGATATCGTATCGTTAAAGTTCTCTGAATAATATCGTCGGTGGTCACAATTTATTTAATTACAAGTTCTATTTGTACTATTTTATATATGTATTTATATTTATGTTTATTATTAAAATTATCTAAATATTATTACGATGATATTTATTAGGGATGTAACAATAATTGAAATATCATGATACCGTATCGTCAAAGTTCTCTAAATAATATTGTGGGCTGTCACAATATATCGAATTACAAGTTCCATTTGTATTATTTTATATATATATTTATTTATTTATAGTTATATGTTTATTATTTAAATTATTTAAATATTATTATTTCGATTATATTTTATTATGGATGTAACAATAACCAAAATATCGTGATATTGTATCGTCAAAGTTCTCTCAATATTATCATGGACTGTCACAATATATCTAATTATCAAAGGTTTTTTTTTGCGTAAATTGATGGTTTTATAATAGCAACAGCTAATAAAGATAGGGAACTACAAATCCCATGATCCATTTCAGTGCAAACAACATGAAGAAATGTGTTTTTCTCTTAATTCTTGGGTTTATGACAGTAATGATTCGCACCAAAGTCTTGTCAAGGTATTTTAAAAGCAAAAAGTATCTTCTGTCTACAATTTTATTTGCTTTTCCAAAATATTACAGTGAATATCGAACTGTGAGATGCATATCGTGATAATATCGTAACGTGAAATTTTTATATCGTTACATCCCTTCACAACTCCACAGTTTATTGTCTGTGTGTGGCTGTACTGTATGTTTTTTGTTTGGGTTTGACTAATTACAGAGTGCACTTTCTGAAACAAAACATACATGTTTTATTTTAGTGACAGACGCATTACGCACGTGGAGAACAAACCTTCAATTAGACCACCACAACAACTGCACCGGCCTCTGATTCCAACGCAACTTTTACCGTTTGATAAAAGCGTTAAAGGAACATACTCTTCTTCTCAAAAGTTTGGAGACACTTTTTCATTCATGTTTCTGTCTTATGTCCATGGTTATTTTACACTGTAGATTCTCACATTAAATATATGAATGAACACGGATGTTATAAATGTAGTAAACTAAAGATAAACTCAACTTCACTTGCACAGATCAGACCACAATGATGGAATACGATTAGTGCTGTCATGCGATTAAAAAAATTGAGAGATTAATTAATTATGATCTGTAATTAATTAATCGAATTAATCTCATTTTAATCTCACCTAAAAATTGCTGAAAAAAGCCTTCAATTTGAGGTATTTTCATTTAAATTCATTATTACATTATTGTGGCAGATCAAAAGACTGATATAGAACAAAAAAAAGTGACTTGATAAAGTCATTTATTGTTTAACAAATCTCTCCAAATTGGTTGTTGAGCCCAAGTCTCCATGAATAAGAAACTGTTTGCTGTAAAGTAGCAAAGACGAGGAAATCTGAACATAATAACTTTTGTCTACTTAAAGACAATAAAAAGTCCAGTCTTTCCTTAACCATATTAAAAATATTATTGATAGAGAAATGCTTTATATATGAAATCACTGGTTTTAGTTCTTGTTTTAGTCCTGGTTTAGACCTGCTTTAGTCCTACTTTAGTCCTAGTTTAGTCCTGGAATGGATTAATCCTGGTTTTAGTCCTGGTGTTATTTCTGGTTTAGTTCTGGTTTTAGTTCTGGTTTAGTCCTGGTTTAGTCCTGGACTGGATTAGTCCTGGTTTTAGTCCTGGTGTTATTTCTGGTTTTAGTTCTGGTTTTAGTTCTGGTTTAGTCCTGGACTGGATTAGTCCTGGTTTTAGTCTTGGTGTTAGTTCTGGTTTAGAGGTTCACAGGAGGAAGCGCGGTTTACGCAGCGTAGCGAGAAAACACGATCCACACGCGGCTCACGGGAGCACGTCGGTGTCCACGCAGTAACTACGGAAGGAAACGTGGTCCGCGCGTTCTGAGGTTAATGACGATGATGAAGGTGTGTGTTTGTTTGTGTGTGTTTGTGTTTGTGTTTGTGTGTGTGTGTGTTTGTGTGTGTTTATGTGTGTTTGTGTGTGTTTGTGTGCGTGTCCCCTCATGTGGCAGGTCACTATAGGACAGTAGTGCAGACATCATGAGCCTATGCAGGTTGTTTTCATCAGTGACATTTAAGTTGTAGGCGATTTTATATTTGTTATTTTCTTTTATATTTCACGTCGGGAGAATAATTTCCAAGACACGAATGTGTTTTTACCTGTGCACTGCTGCTCTGTTCTACTGGCTCTTCCACCTCGTCAATTGTGTGACTGACGCCGCAAACGTGAACATGATGTTTACGTCGCTCTTTCTGCGCACGTTTTGTGTGAGTTTCCGGCAATGAGTGGGATTACTGATAAAAAAATGTATAAATATGTTTTTTGTGTGTGTGTGTGTGTTGTTGTTGTCCTAACAACACATAAAAACAGGTTTTATAATAAAGCAACTCACATACAGAAACACTAAAATTAGAGATTAAAAATGAGATTAACGCGATTAAAAAACATAACGCGCTAAATATGACTGTAATTAATTAATCGCAATTAACGCGATAATTTGACACCCCTAAATACGATAAAGATTTTTCTTGACGGTGGATAGATGTGATGGCTGAGGGTTCAATCTCCAATCCAAAATGGTCACCCAGTTGATTCAGAAACCCCTCCTTGAGATGACGACTTTGGACTGACGGATGGACAAAACTGACATGGACAGTTTTGTTGGGATAGGCCGTATAAACAGGGCTTCTGAATCCGTGTATCATTCGTTCATTTGTTTTTCAAAATAAAACCATAAATAAGAAAATGAAAAAACAACTATTTTCTTAATTATTTGTCTCCAAAACCAAAAGGAAAAAAAAACAGATAATGATTCGTTTTTTTCAGTTTTTGATTTTGTGTTTAAATGAATAATGGAAAAAAAATAAAAATAAATAAATGGTCGTTTCCTGTTTACATAACTTAAACTGTGATGCTGGACTGAACCAGGACTAAACCAAGTCTAAACCAGGACTAAAACAAGACTAAAACAGGACTGAACAGCTCTAAACCAGCTCTAAACCAGTACTGAACCAGGACTAAACCAGGTCCCAATCCTGGTCTCAGTCCCTGTCTGGTCCCGGTCCCAGTCTGATCCCAGTTTCCTGATCATCCGACAGTCTATGCGGGTGCACGTCCTGGCCAGTCCTGACACTCCTGGTTCAGTCCTGGTTTAGTCCTGGTTCAGTTCTGGTTTAGTCCTGGTTTAGTCTTGGTTTAGGACTGAGACTGGAACCGGGACTGAGACCGGGACTGAGACTAGAACTGAGACTGGTTCAGACCTGGTTTAGAGCTGGTTTAAACCTGTTTTAGTCCTGGCTCAGTCTGGTATCGCAGTTTAAGTCACAGGAAACGGCCGTTATCTGTTTTTTTCCATTCTTCATTCAAACACAAATCGAAAACTGAAAAAAACCGAATCATTATCTGTTTTTTCATTTTGGTTTTGGAGACGAATAATGAAGAAAATAGTTGTTTTTCATTTTCTTATTTTTGGTTTTACAGTATATTGAAAAACAAATGAACAAGTGATACATGGATTCTTCTGGGTAAATGAAGGTGTGGTTGAGATGAGCTGTGGTTGGCTGGAGAGGAGGTTGAGACGTGGTCCAGCTCCTGAATCATAGTTAATCATATTAACTCCATATAACTCAAAAACTTGTTTTAGATAAAAATAAAAAATAAATTCCTTTGCCTTTGCTTTGAACCCTGGTTTGCACTTTTAGCATTTTTTTTTTCCTGACATGGCAAAGCAGTGAAATGAAAAACATTTCAGGAGACTTCATCACAAAGCTCAGAGAGAAGATGAAGAGTTTGCAGCACTGTCAACAAAGCAAGTAAGGAATTTGAATATATTTTTCCAGTTAATTATTGCAATTCAAGTCGTGCAAGTCCAGTGAAGATCTTGAAATGGTACAAAGGTAAGAACCGAAAAGCCAGTGGTTAAAAAAAAAAAGATAAAAGATACAAAACACAAATCCAAGCTCTGCCAAAACTACCTCAGGAAAAAAGAACAAGATGGCAAAGCTTGACAATATGGAGTGTCCAGCACAGTGTCCATCGAGCTGGTTTGGGATGAACTGGACAGAAGAGTGAAAGTCAAGAAACCTACAAGTGCCACACATTTATGGGAACTTCTGCAACAGACTTGGGAAGAACTTTCTGAAGAATATTTGATTTCTATTGTAAAAAGAAAGAGCCACGAGTGCGTTCAGCTGTTATATCTGCCAAAAGTGGACACTTCCATGAGTCAAAAGTTTAGAATACGATTTTGGTCAACAGTAAATGGTAAAAAAATGGAAAAAGTGTGGTGTTATGAAACTTTTGACCAGTAGTGTAGATCTTACTTCGTATATTTGATGTCTTCTGTATGTAAATAAAATGTAGAAAGCAGTAAACAAAGTAAAAAATATGAATGAGAAGGGACTGAAAAAGGAAATTAACCACGTTTACATATTTACCTTTTAAATGTTCATTAATATGTGCTGTTTCTTTACAAATAAATTAAGAAATACAAAGTTGTGTCCAAACTTTTGACTGGTAGTTTACGTCAAAAGTCGATCCAAATTCTAGGAAGTCTCACGTCACCGAATAAAATATCTAACCAAGGCTATGTGCATTCTTCTTTGTTGGAGTCTTCGTGACCCGGGAGCGACGGTTGCACAGTGGTTTATTCTGTCTTGACTCAAGAGTTCACACGATCCTTGTAAATTCCACACACACGTACGAGCTGAACAGACTTGAACTAGGCCTAAACCTTGAACTAAATCTTGCCAAGTATTGACACAGTTTCCAGAAGATTAAACCTTTAGTTAAACTACAGTAAAAAAAAAGGCCTTGAGATTAAAACAGAAAGGCTTGTGTTGATTTTATATTATTTATACTGGCTACATTTATTTAATAGTATGTTTTATTGTATTTATTTATAGTAGTTTTGTTGTTGTTGTTGTTGTTTTAATAGAAAACCTAGTTCTAATCGTGATCAAAATTCATCAAAAAGGTGCAGAGATCATATATTGTGATTCTAACCTGCAGGGATTTTTAAATGTTTGCACATCTGACGAAGAAGTGACTGATGTCTTAACAAGTTTGTACAAATACAGATGAGTCTGATTTGATTAGTAGAATGTAGAATGTGTTTTTGTGCAAATGTTGGGGCTTGGTACAGAGTGGAAGAGGTGCATGTGGTTGCGTGTCTGCTGTTTGCACTATTGGGAAGGTTATTTTTAAAATGTATTCCCCTACAGATTACAGATTACATACATCAAAATGTAGATGTAACGTAATTCATTAAATTACTTAAAGTGAGTAACGTAATCTGAATACTTTGGATTACTTGATATTGTCATGCTTTTTAAAACTACATGAATGTAGCAACCACATTCTGCAAATTCTTGTTTGTTCTCTTCAAATTGGCCGTTGAGCCCAAGTTTCTGTGAATAGGTATTTGTTTGCTGTAGAGGAGCAAAGATGAGGATCTTAACCAGTTAGTCTTTACTTAACCATATAAAAAAATATTATTGATAGAAAAATGCTTTCTATATGAGATCACTGCTGCCTTCAATTATGTTCGTAGATATAATATTGTTTATAAAAATAAAAAAAAAATCACTTTCAGTGCAAACATAAAGGTGTCAGCCCAGTAAAAATCAGTAATACTGGATGTTTTTTTACTCAGAATGATGAGGAATCAAATAATTAACAACGGCGATTATTAACGTTGTTAATTTTGTGACTGTGTGACTGAAGGCACCAACGTTAACAAGACGTTTACGTGGCTTTTACTGCACACGTTCTGTTTGGGTTTCCGGCAATGACTGGAATTACCGAAATAAAATTTTAAAAAATGGGATACAGCCCAAAATGTGAAAACAGGAAAATACTGCCATGTAATCCATTTATTTCAACAAAGTAACTGTAATCCAATTACCACTTACTGAAACAGTAACTGTAACTGTAACAGTTACTCATAATTTGTACTCTGATTATATAATGCCGGTGCATGTAATCCATTACTCACCAACACTGGCTGTATGTTGTTTTTAGAATAGTATTTCAACCCTGTAACCCTAAGTAATATCTGTTTTAATGGATTTTTGTTCAGTTTATCTCTATAAACTGAATCTGTATTTTAATATTTCCACCAACCTGCTCAGACACGACAGGTGTAAATGGGCATCCATTTATAACCCGGCACCAGCATCTTTCCTTTGACTTCTGTCTTGGTTAATGTTTTGTTGTGCACTGTCCCTGTACAAATAAAAAGCATTCCATACCACATCGTTTCCCAAAGATTGGGTCGCAACCCTCAGGTTTGTCGCAAGAGATTTTTTTTTGTGTTGCCTTGTCACGATCTGCAATATAAGTTTAATTTTGTTCCAATATTGCTGGTTCAATTGAATGTTGAAAAGAAAAAGAAATGGGCTACATTTAATGTCCAAATAGACGACTTATGGATCCTTTTGTTGCTGCTTCAATTACAGTTTTTTTCATTGTTTAAAACTTGAGTAAAACTAATTGTTCAGAGACACGATCACTCAGTCAACAATAAAATATCCTCATTTATGTTCAATAATGATAAAATCCACCTTTATTTTGTGATTTATGAATAATATCTATGGTCTTGGGTCTTGAAGGTTTCTGACTTTTAAAATATGGGTCCCCAGAAAAAAAAAAAGTTTGAGAAACACTGCCATACCATACCATATGGTTATTTGCTGCCATCTTGTGGTCACATTGAAAAAGTGTTTGCTTTTTCACCGTCAACCTTCACCAAAAAATACTGTATTATTATATATTTTTAGCAGATACTTTGTTGTAATGACACATTATTAGAAGCCATTTTTGTTTTGTTACTCCCATAGACCATATATATAATTTTTATACTTTATACTTTTTACATATTTACTACTATTTTTTAATTTTAATTTATTTTCCTTTTTTCCTTTTTTAAAATTTTTTTCTTTTTAACTTATTATTTTTTAAATTTAAATTTTTTTACTTTTTTATTTTACTTTTAAACTTTTTATCTTTTTTTACTTTTAACTTTTTTTTACTTTTTTTTTTTGTTTTTTTTTTTTTTTACTTTTTTTTTAACTTTTTTTTTTTAACTTTTTTATTTTTTTTTTTTACTTTTTTTATTAACTTTTTTAACATTGCTCTTTTTTTTTTTTTTTAAAACGTTTTTTAAACTTAATTTTTTACTTTTTTTACTTTTTTTACTTTTAAAAATGTTTTACTTTTTTTTTTTTTAACTTTTTTTTACTTAACTTTTTTATTTATTATTTATTATTATTATTATTATTATTATTATTATTATTATTATTATTATTATTATTATTATTATTATTATTGTTGTTGTTGTTGTTGTTATTTTATTTTTTATTTTTTTTTACTTATTTTTTACATTTTATACAGTTTACGGTTACGCCTCAACTTTTCAACAAATCAGAGTTCCGATTGGTCGGGGCGGTGCTCTACGTCAGCGTGTCCCGGAAGTACAACATGGCTCATATGCAGCTCCTGTGCTAAACCTTCACAGCTGATGCGAGGTCAGTGCTTTTAAGTGACACGTTTATAAATGATCATTACGTCTTTTTTTCTTCTCACGATAAAAGTGACGTTGCTTCGTTTTCTCGTAACTCCATATTTAGCGTGAAAACAGAGGAGATGAAGCCTGTAGTAGAGCAGAGCTAACACTTTCTGTCTTTTCATTCATAATAACACACATAAAAACAAAGTGCTGCTCTGTTTGCAGTGTTGGGGAGTAACAGATTACATGTATCGGAGTTACGTAATCAGAGTACAAATTATGAGTAACTGTATTCAGTTACAGTTACTGTTTCAGTGAGTGGTAATTGGATTACAGTTACTTTGTTGAAATAAATGGATTACAGGGCAGTATTTTCCTGTTTTTACATTTTGGGCTAAAAACAGGACAAAACCAGGATTAAAACAGGACTAAAACAGGTCTAAACCAAGTCTAAAAGCAGGACTAATCTAGGACTAAACCAGGACTAAAACCAGGTCTAAAAGCAAGTCTAAACCAGGTCTAATCCAGGACTAAACCAGGTCTAAACCAGGTCTAAACCAGGTCTAAACCAGGACTAAACCAGGACTAATCCAGGACTAAACCAAGTCTAAACCAAGTCTAAACCTCAACTAAACCAGGTCTAAACCTCAACTAAACCAGGTCTAAACCAGGTCTAAACCAGGACACCTAACAGTAGGTGAACATAATTTCAGGCAGCAGTGATCTCATATAAAAATCATTTCTCTATCAATAATATTTTTAATATGATTAAGTAAAGACTGGGCTTCTTATTTTCTTTTATCAGATAAAACAAAACATCGTATGTTCAGATCCTTGTCTTTGCTTCTCTACATTAAACAAAAGTCTGTTCATGGAGACTTGGGCTCAACAGACAATTTGAAGAGAACAAACAAGAATTTTCAGGATGTGGTTGCTACATTCATGTCATTTTAAAAAGCAAGACAATATCAAGTAATCCAAAGTATTCAGATTACGTTTCTCACTTTAAGTACTTTAATGGATTACATTACAAACTACATTGTGGGGGATGTAATCTGTAGGGGAATACATTTTAAAAGTAACCTTCCCAACACCGTCTGTTTGACACTAAAGTTCTCACTGCTGTTTTTGAACTGGTGTTTTCCAGTATTATCCATTACATTTACATCATTGACATTCTAAAATAGGGGTAGGCAACGTGGCAAAAGCTTTATATTTCAATTTTCTTGAAGCCAGATCACGATTTCATTTTTTTAATCACCATTAATGTGCACTCTGTATTTGTCTGTTCCCTTCAAAGGTCCTAAACTACGCAAAATAGACTCTTGTGAGCTTTAAGCCATGTTAGAATGTTGTTACATACTTGGAGTTCCCAATCCAATCCACTTTATTTATACAGCACATTCCATAAACAGTTTCCAAAGTGCTGCACAAATACATAGTAATAACAACAATAATATAATGATCAAATAAATGCTCAGATTTAATCATACTAGTCGTAAAACAATAACACCAGTAAAATAAAATAAGAGCAAAAACAGAATAGCAATAAAATAAATTAAAAATAAATAAAAGACACAGAGGGCGACACAAGCCGGAGAATAAAAGTGGGATTTAAGACTTAAACTCTCCACTGTGAGGGCTGTTCGGATGTGGGGGTGCAGAGCGTTCCAGAGCTTGGCCACAGACAAGGCCCTGTCCCCCCGGAGTTGTGTTTTGTTGTTTCATTTGCACATGTTTAAGTAACCTTTTATTATTTGTCTGTCTACATCTCCAAAGTTCAAAATGCTCTGTTCCACCTTGTGATGTCGGAAAGTGACAGATCTTATCCAGAGAAAAGAATTGGTGTGAGAGTGGTGTTAAAGAATCTATTTTTGTTTGGAAAGACAATTCATCTTTGAACAGGAATGGAGGACTCAGACACCATCTATCTCCTATTTACAATTCCATCCTCAAATCTAAATCAAAACAAACAAAGATAAGAATAGGGGTATCCAGGTCAGCACCAAAGGTGTGAACGCTCCATCATGGCCCTGAATGATTCTGCTAATATGACCCCACACTCATTGCAAGATCAATAGGCCTAACTATCTAAGAAAAACTGTAAACAAGTAGGTGTGGTAGTTTCAGAGTAGTTTCAGTGTAGTTAGCTTGTCCCTTCAGGCAGATATAAGGAAGTGTCCACCAGCATTTGGACCAGAACTGAAAAAGCAGCTTGGATGAGCTGTGAAACAAATTTGACCAAATAAACTTTTGTCCAGTTGATATATTGAATTTCTCCTTTTACCTTGACAGTTTTAAAGTTACCTTTTACCTTTAGTTCAGGCAAATCCAGGGCTGAAATTATCAACAGTATTTTGGTAACTTTAATTTTGTAGTTTTTTTTGTTGTTATTCACCTCACCTCATCAGTTTTTTCTGTTAGAAAGAAGAACTAAATGTGCAGGGTTTGTGTGTTAAACATGTGAATGAAACAAACACAACTCCAGTTATGTTTTAGAAGAACATTGATCAGAAAATAGCAATAAATATCATTGGTAGAGCAGTCAAAGGTGGAGGTGTGATTCCAGCTCTCACAGGTGAATACTATTTTTGTATCCTTGGGCAAGACACTTAACCCCCCTCGCCCTCGGTGTCTGAGAGCATTTGTATATGAAAAGGAAAGGCTCTATGTAAAAATGTGACAATTCACCTTTTATGCCCAGTTAATCTTTTGTGTTTTTATAGATGCCTCCGATGTGTAACAAAATGAGAAGATATGGACTTCCTCTTTTGCACCGTGCCTCCTCTTTGTACATCGCCAAAAACACCTGCTGCCTTCACCAAAGACTATCCCGTCCCTCCGCCATTTTCCCCAGTGCCAGATGTTTCACCACAGCTGTGAACACTGAGCACATACAAGACCTGAGTGGACCAGAGCAGAGACTTCTCAATAAACTGTATGAGGGGCTGATTGGAGGGCAAAGGGCGTCTCTGGCAGAGTCTATCACATTAGTGGAGACCCAGCATCCCAGGAAGAAGGAGCTGGCTCAGGTGCTGCTGCAGAGGGTGCTGGCCTACAGGAGAGAGCAGGAGAAGCAGAACAGAGGGAGGCCGCTGGCGTTCAGAGTGGGTGTGTGTTTGGTTTTTGGTTTGTTTTTATAATGGAGCTCAGCACTGACCGCTCACTGCACATTACACGGTTTTAGAAATAAATTTCTCATTAATTTTTCACATAGACTTTCATAAAAAAATATTTTAGAAGTTTGAAAGCTCAGGGCTATTCAGCGATGTGGAAACTAATGAGCACAAGACTGATAATTTGATTTAATATCTCTTTCTGAAACTTGATAAACTGCTAACTTATTAAAGCATTTCACCAAATCTTTCAGTTTAAATGTACTTTTTGGACTTAAAACAACCACATTATGGATATTATGTGTAAAATCCCTCAGTCGTTCAAATAGAATCCATGACAAAAGGAGAAATTCAATTTGTCAACAAGACAAAAGTTTATTTTGGTCAGATACGTTTCACAGCTCATCTAAGCTGCTTCTTCAGTTCTAGTCCAAATGCTGGTGGACACGGCCTTATATCTGCCTGTGGTGCCATTTTCTTACCCATTAGTGAGCTGGTTTAGCCTCTGCGATGCCTTTGAACTCTTAATATTTGATATGTTCAAAAAGTCTATGGGAAAAATGGAAAATTTACTTCCGGAACTGGAGCAGACTGTTGAGCTGCATTATGGTTATGCAGTCAAAATAATGTCAGAAGTACAGTAAAATACATAGAGTAGTGGCATTTATAAACAGAGGAGAGTAGTTTATAGGTTTGTAACAATTAGGGGATGTGCAAAAATATTGAAATATCGCTATATCGTATAGTTTAATGTAATGATACAGTATCGATATCGTGAGCTGCTGTATTGAAATATCGCCAAGAGGGTTTTTTGGTGTATTTTACAAAATTATTTTGTTACAGCGCTACAGTTTGTGTTGTTTGTTTAGTGCAGGACGTGTCAAACTCAAATTCACAGAGGACCAAAATTAAAAACTGTGACTAAGTCGTGGGCCAAACTAAATATTTACTGAAAAATTTCAACAACATCTGCATGTTTTCTCTTCTTTCGAGATATGTAAAGTTATTAAAATAAAATTTTTGCTTAAACATTGAATCTAGAACAAGCATAATATAAAATAATAACGAAATTTTTAATAAATAATGTCTCTATAGCCTATCTGTAGCCGGTGGGCCAGTTCTAATACATATTTGACCTGAGTTTGACATGTCTGGTTTAGAGGAAAGAAACTCATTTATGCAACACATTTGACATTTTCACTGTTTTAATGATAAAAATTGGCGAGTTTTATATGAACTTTGCACAAGAAGTGGTTTAACAGACTTTTAGTATCACAGCCATGACTTAGCCTTTATTTTTTATTGAATCGTATCGAATCTATTTGAAATACAGTATATCGTATTGAATCATATTGAATCGAAAGCTCACTTCATCGAGGTATGTATCGTATCGGCAACTTCTGAATGATACCCAGCCCTAGTAACAATATCAAATAATCGACCGTTTACAGTATGAATATTTGAATATTATCTGTTTGCTGTGGCTCTTTCTCAATATGACATGACAGCAGGGAACCACTTGGTAAAAACAGACTGCTCACCAAACTGACAGTGTATTTTTCTCACAGGTCTGTCTGGTCCTCCTGGTGCAGGGAAGTCCTCCTTCATTGAGGTTGTGGGTAAGATGCTGACGGGACGGGGGCATAAAGTGTCCGTTCTCGCTGTGGATCCATCCTCGTGCACAACAGGAGGTACAACTGGAAAGATTAAACAGCTGCATTTAAACCTGAAGTCATTTTGATTGACCACAGACCCTCTTAAATCTGTGTATCATTTGTTCATTCGTTTTTCAAAATAAAACAAAAAATAAGAAAATGAAAAAACAACTATTTTCTTCATTATTTGTCTCCAAAACCAAAATGAAAAAAACAGATAATGATTAGTTTTTTCAGTTTTTGTGACTTAAACTGTGATGCCGGACTAAACCAGGACTGAACCAAGACTAAACTGGTCTCAGGTCCCGTTTTCAGTCCCGGTCTCAAGTATAGTCTGGTCCCGGTCTGGTCCTGGTCTCAGTCCTGGTCTCAGTCCCACTCTGGTCCTGGTTTCAGTCCTGGTTTAGACCTGGTTCAGTCCTGGTCTCAGTCCCAGTCTCGGTCCCAGTCTGGTACCGTTCTGGTCCAGGTCTGGTCCCGGTCTCAGTCCTGGTCTGGTCTCGATCTCACTCCTGGTTTCAGTTTTGATCTTGTTCCATTTGATCCTGTTCGGTCCCATTCTCAGTTCTAGTCTCAGTCCCGGTCTCAGTCCCATCTGGTCCTGGTCTCAGGTCCCATTTTCAGTCCCATTCTCAGTCCCGTTTTGGTCCAGGTCTCAGTCCCGGTCTTGTTCCTGGCTCAATCCTGGTCTGGTCTGGTCCTGGTCTCAGTCCCGGTCTGGTCCTGGTTCAGTCCTGGTTCAGTCCGGCATCTCAGTTTAAGTCACGGAAACGGGATGAACGAATGATACACGGATTCTCTTTAAACTGACCCTCTGCTTTATTTAGGCTCCCTCATGGGCGATAAAACCCGAATGACTGAGCTCTCCAGGGACATGAGCGCGTTCATTCGGCCCTCGCCCACCTCCGGGACCCTGGGCGGCGTTACCAGGACGACCAACGAGGCCATCGTTCTGTGTGAAGGCGCCGGCTATGACATCGTCCTGGTGGAGACTGTGGGTAAGAAAATGGCACCACAGAGAACTTAGGCCACATCGCAATTCTCTTTCCTCGCTTCCTTCACTGCAAATGTCTGTGATCTGGCCAAGATTTTAAAACTTATATCAGGTTATTCATTTTGTTTTCATATTTATTGTCTACTTACTAGTTCTGAGACTGTTTAAATCTAGATTAGGACTATAAATCACTCTGGAGTATAAGTCGCACCAGCCAAAAAATGTGTAATGAAATGAAGAAGAAAACATATATAAGTCGCAATTGTTGGGGGAAATGTATTTTATAAAATTAGAGACCAAGAACTGACATTTCATCTTGAAACACAAATTATAGTAAAAACAATAGAACAGAGAACAACAGTCTGAATAGGAGTCGAGTATGTTAACGTAACATCCATTCATCCATTTTCTTCCGCTTATCCGGGGCCGGAAGCAGGGGCTCCCAGACTTCCTTCACCCCAGACATGTCCTCCAGCTCCTCTGAGGGGACCCTGAGGCGTTCCCAGGCCAGCCCAGAGAGATAGTCCCTCCAGCATGTCCTGAGTCTTCCCCAGGGCCTCCTCCCAGTGGGATATGCCTGGAACATCTCCTGAAGGAGACGCCCAGGAGGCATCCGGAACAGATGCCCGAGCCTCAACTGCTCCTCTCGATGTGGAGGAGCAGCGGCTCTACTCCGAGCTCCTCCCGTGTGTCTGAGCTCCTCACCCTATCTCTAAGGGAGCACCCAGCCACTCTGTGAAGGAAACTCATTTCGAGCGCTCGTATCTGCGATCTTGTCCTTTCGGTCATTACCCAGAGCTCATGACCATAGGTGAGAATAGGAATGAAGATTGAACGGTAAATCGAGAGCTTCGCCTTTCGACTTAGCTCCCTCTTCACCACAACGGTCCGATACAGCGACCGCATCACTGCAGACGCTGCACCGATCCACCTGTCAATCACACGCTCCATCCTCCCCTCACTCTTGAACAAAACCCGAGATACTTGAACTCCTCCACTTGATGTTAACGTAACATATTTAGAGTTATTCAGATAACTATAGCATAAACAACAGAACATAAGTTTACCAAACTCTCCATCTCACTCCAAATCACTAAATCCATTGAAATCTTCATCCTTGGTGTCACTTCTGCGTGACCTCTGGAGGTAAACGGAGCGCCGCTTCCTCTTCTGTGTAGCTGCTGTCAGACTCAGTATCGGTTCCAGATAGAATTATTCGGGCCTTTCTGAATCCCGACAGGATGGTTTCAGTGTCACTGAAGTCCAGGCTTTGTTGATCCATCCAGTGACTTCCAGGAAAATTGCATGGCGCACCCTCCCGGTTGTGGTGAAGCTTCCGTCAGTCCCTCACAAGTTTCTTGCTCACTCCAAACTTTCTTTCTGCTGCTCGATTACCATTTTTGGCTGAATATTTCACTACTTGCAGCAGGACAGAGGCTCTTTCTACAGGAGACATGCGCAGTAGAGTGAAGTGACAGTGGTACAGGAGGAACAGGAGCAGCAGATACTGACACACAAGACGAGAGCCTCTCACGCTGTTAGTGGGAAAATTTTAATATATAAGTTGCACCAGAGTAGTCGCAGGAAACTTATAGTCCGAAAAATATGATAAAAAATAAGTTTATTTTTAAGATAACTTGTGAAGCAAAATGATTGCTGCATGGACAGATCATTTCTCTACTTTTAAGTCATTTTCTAATCGATTTAAGTGTTTATATCTTTTGGCCAAGCTTTTTTGCAGTGTTCTCCTTGATTCCTCTCCTCGACCCTCCATTTTTCAGCTGTCAATCAAATGTGTCATATTAAGAGGTGTCCCACAGAAAACCACGGACGGAGGGAGTAAACAAGAGGGAGGCTTCAGGAACAAACATCAGATAAGATAATAAAACTTTATTGGTTTCAGTGAGGAGTTTATATCCTCTCTCCTCGCTTTGTCTCCTCTGTGGGCGGGATTTCCTCACCCATTTCCTGCAGAATCGAGGAGAAGGAAGCGAGGAAAGAAAAATGAGACGCGAGTTGGACACAGCAGCTCACACATCACATGTAATATAATGACAAACAGTAAAAATATAAATGGTAATAATAAATTCAAAATAAGGGCAGTATTTTTTGGAATACTAAAACCAGGTCTAAACCAGGACTAAAACAGAACTATAAGTAGGACAAAAATCTGGACTAAACCATGACTAAAACTAGGTCTAAACCAGGACTAAAACCAGGTCTAAAACCAGGTCTAAACCAGAACTATAAGCAGGACGAAAATCAGGACTAAAACCAGGTCTAAACTGCATCTAAACCAGATCTAAGCCATGACTAAACCAGGACTAAAATCAGGACTAAAAACAGGACCAAAACCAGGACTAAACCAGAACTATAAGCAGGACGAAAATCAGGACTAAAACCAGGTCTAAACTGCATCTAAACCAGATCTAAGCCATGACTAAACCAGGACTAAAATCAGGACTAAAAACAGGACCAAAACCAGGACTAAACCAGAACTATAAGCAGGACGAAAATCAGGACTAAAACCAGGTCTAAACTGCATCTAAACCAGATCTAAGCCATGACTAAACCAGGACTAAAATCAGGACTAAAAACAGGACCAAAACCAGGACTAAACCAGAACTAAAAGCTTGACTAAACCAGCACTAAACCCAAAACTAAAATCGGGACTAAAATGGGGTCTAAAACCAAATCTAAACCAAATCTAAACCAGGACTAAACCAGGTCTAAAATCAGGTCTAAACAAGGTCCAAACCAGGACTAAAACCAGGTCTAAACCAGGACTAAACCAGGACTAAAATCAGGACTAAAGTCAGGTCTAAATCCAAATCTAAACCAGGTCTAAACCAGGACTAAACCAGGACTAAAACCAGGTCTAAAACAGGTCTAAACCAGGACTAAACCAAAACTAAACCAGGTCTAAACCAGGACGACTTACTCTAAGGAAAGGCTCACATTCAACCCCTGATTTCTTTGGAACAGTTTTTCACTTAGTCACTCCTTTTTTTTCCTGAAAATCAAACACCTAAACAGAACCATGAAGACTTTTATTGATCACAGGCTCCTGAACGTGTGTTGCTTAAATCCATTTTTTTTTTTTTTTTGAGTTTTCAGACTATCTTCAAATTTTTTTTGGCAGTGTTTGCTAATTTGTGCATCGTGTTACCATGGCAACTTCCACAACCCGTCATAAACATACAGACATGATTTCACTGCAAATTATCAATGATTACTAGTAAGAATAGTTTTGTAATTTGTCATAAATGTGCTAAAATGTGTCTGTAATGGTTTTGGTTCACACACAGTTGAAGAGATTATAAAATTAGACACAAAAAAGGCTTAAACTTATCACTTTATACACTTATTTGGAAGTTTTTGTGCTTTCTGTTGTAATTCTTAGTTGCTATACTTTATGACAATGTTCTTACTTTATAGATTATACTACTTGGTTTTCATATTTTACATAAAAAGGTTCACAATAATTTCATATAAGACAATTTATGGAGTAAATGAGTCTACTGATAAAGCACTGATTACAAATTTAATACAGTTACTTCTATATTATAACATATTCATATTCTTAACAATAATTTAAGTATAAATTAGTACCGTTTTCAGCTTTTTTTTTTTTGGACTATAGAGGGAAAAATTAGACAACAGAAGAAGCAACACATTGTCTTCAGTAATTAGAAAACACTGGCTCACTTTTGTTCCTTTGCAGATCTCCACATGCAAAAAGGAAATTTAAATGCATTTATATATCAACTACAATGTGAAACAAACAAACAAAAAAAGTTATTATTATTGCTGTTCTTTCGTTCAGGTGTGGGACAGTCCGAGTTTGCAGTGGCTGATATGGTCGACATGTTTGTGCTCCTGATTCCTCCAGCAGGGGGCGACGAACTCCAGGTCAGTGAACAGCAGACGGAGCAAAGCTTTTTATAAACTCAGATTACACTAATATACGAAGTCAGACGCTTTGTGAAACTGTGTGTAAAAGCTCTTTATGATCATTTAAATTAGTGAAGCAGGAAATAGGATTGTGAACGAAGCATTTTTTCACTATAAAGCAAAAGGAGATATTATTGTTTTCCTTCAAGGGCGTTCCAGAGGCAAATACAAAATGTTCTTTTATAGTTTTTAATTAATTCTATTTAAATGTATTTTATTTATAGTATTTTTATCAATTAATTCATTTATTTATTTATGTAAGAATTTTTTTTTCTTATTATACTTTTTTTTTTTTCACTAGAAATTATTAGGAAATATTTTTGTATTACTTCAGGGGTTTTTAAGAGGCAAATAAACAGCTCTTTTCCATTTTTTAAATTTTTTTTTCTTTAATTATTATTATTATTTTTACATTTACATTTTTAAAAATTATTATTTAATTTTATTATTCATGTATGTATTTATATATCTATTAATTATTTTGCCATCGATATTTATTATTTTATCATTATTTATACGGCATGCCAGTATGGTGATTCGAGTTTGGTGGCATGAAGAGGAATGAGACTGTGAGACATTGCCTTGTGTTTTCTCCAGTCCATTTGTTAAAAGTTGGAGTTTCCGCACAGTTTCTTGAGTTGCGTCCAGGTTGGCAGCGCCCGCCTCGTGTCCCCACATCACTGTGTATCCAGATCACTCAGCAGATTAGACGTCTAGACATCAGATTTATTTACAGTGGATCTTCGGGACTTAATGCCCCCTCCCTCTGTGATGCCAGGGTATCAAGAGGGGCATCATAGAGAGAGCCGACCTGGTGGTGGTCACCAAAGCGGACGGGGACTTGCTGGTTCCTGCCAGGAGGATCCAGGCCGAGTACACCAGCGCCCTCAAGCTGCTGCGGAGACAGACGCGATCCTGGAACCCAAAGGTACGCAACATCTACAGAATGTGGCCCTCAGAGTCAAAAAAAAAAATGTAAAAGTTCTTCTCATAGTAACAAAAATAAAATTCACAAATTGAGAATGTTCTGGTTGTTTAAAAAAGATACACTGTGCTTGAGCCTGTTATATAACTAAAATACTAAACCATGACATCTAAAACCTCTTCAGGCCTCTTTTCGATGAGGGAACAACATTATAAAAAGAAAAAAGAATCAAGTTTGCATAATACCCTCCATTTAAAATTAAACTACCAGTCAAAAGTTTGGCCACACTTTTTCACATTTGTGTTGTCTTTATTTTAATCTGCAGTGTAAATAGTCAAAAAATTTAAATATCTTGACTATTTACATTGTAGATTCTCACTGAATGTATCAAAAGTATGAACAAACACATGGAAAGTAGTAAACAAAACTCGAAACACTCAGTTTGTTTGAGATTTTAGAGCTTTAAAAATGGTAACCTTTTTGTTTCGGTCACTGCTCTGCATTTTTGGTATTTCTTGACCCTGACGTGGCACAGCTGTGAAAAAAAAAACATTTCAGGAGATGTCATCAACAAGATTATTGAGAGAAGGCCAAGCAGGGTTCCCATGATCATGGAAATCCTGGAAAACTCATGTAAATTGAAAATGTCACTTTCCAGGTCAATAGAAAAGTCATGGAATTCAATGAAAGTTTTGGAAAAGTCATGGAATTTTAGTATCTCTTTCATGCAGTTACAGCATTCTGTTAAGTTCTCATTAGACTATTATGATTATTTCTGAATGTCTGCAACTTTTGATTAAAAAAGATGACAATAAATGCACTGTCAGGATTTTGAATGTTAAAAAACTATAATACCAAACCATAAGGTGAGTGGAAAGCAGGGGTGTAACAATAACCGAAATATTGTGATATCGTATCGTCAAAAGTCTCGCAACAATATCGTGGACTGCCACAGTGCATGGAATTACAAGTTTCTTTGCTTAAATGCATGGTTTTATAGTTGCAACAGCTTATAAACATCAGAAACTACATATCCCATGATTCATTTCAGTGCAAACAACATGAAGAAATATGTTTTTAACTTGAATTCTTTGAATTATGACAGAAATAATTCACACCAAAATCTTGTCAAGGTATTTTGAAAGCAAAAAAGTGTCCCATCTACAATTATATCAGCCTCTTCAAAAATATCTCAACAAATATCGTACCGTGAGATGCATATCGTGATAATATCGTACCGTGAGATTTGGATACCGTTACATCCCTAGTGGAAAGGGTTAACATTTCCTTTTTAACCCTAAAAGCATGATCAGTTCTAGGTGCCATAAAGTCATGGAAAATTCACTTTAGGTCATGAAAAAGTCATGGAAAAGTTTAGAAGTTTTGTCAGTGAAAAAAGAGTGGGAATCCTGGCCGAAAGTTTGCAGCGCTGTCGACAAAGCAAAGGGTGGCTGCTTTGAAGAATTTGAATTGAAAATATAAAAAGTTAAGAGACATTTAACTTAAATTTTCTTAATTCTACACATTTTACATCATATATTTGAGGTCCTCCGTATAAAAAATTTACAAAGACAGAAAGAAAATGAATGAGAAAGTGTGTCCAAACAGTGTATTTTGCGATTAACTAGATTTCCTCTTGTATAATTTTGATTTATTCACTCCCATTTCTAAACACAATCGTCATTGAGTTACCAAACCCCATTTTTACGACTGTCAATGATCCCTTCAACTCCTACATCTCAATAACTCAGAAAGGTTATGTAACAAACCCACTGATCTCTGACCCCTTATCACCATGACAACAGCCACGGTAAAAAAAAAAAAAACACACACACACACACAAGGATGTACTCCCCGGACAGAGCGCGGACGTCAGGAGCCGGACACTTCTCTCCGCGTATCGTCCATCTGGTACACGACTAAATGAAGTGGATGTAAGTGCGTGCAGCGGAGGCAGGAGGATGAAGTCCAGAGGTCAGAGGGGTCGCGGGGGTCGCGGGGGTCACGGGGGTGAGGGCAGAGGCGGTCAAGAGCGCAGATGGTCTGATCCGGCGTCCTTTCATCACAGTGACATGCGGCAGTGGGCGGGGCTTCGGCGAATGTTAGATTCCTACAGCGGGACCAGAGATACTTGGTTAGTTTTTAATCTTTTTTTTTTGTTGTTGTTCTTGGTTAAAAAAAAGTAAATACAATGGGAAAATGCATCTGATTGATCTCTGAGATTCTGTATCCCGTTTACTCCACAAGCGTTTGAGAGAAGACTGAAACACGAACTGCTAAACTATTACAAGAATCCTGTGCATTTCAGAGCATTGTTAAGATCTAACTACAAGTACAACAAGATTTTTTTAAGTGACGGGGTATTTTGTTCTTTCTATTATCTACATAATTGCAACCTTTGATAAATGTGCCAACTCAAATTTCAAATGCGAGATTGTGTAACTCTGTGTGTGGTATGTGAGACTGGAGCTTTGGAGGAGGACAAATGTAGACTACAGTGAGGTCTAAACCAGTGTTTCCCAATCAGAGGTACACTACCAGGGAGTACTTGGAATGATTTCTCAAAGTTAAATAGTATAAAATGGTCTCTGAAGTAGGGCTGTGTATCATTAAGAAGTTGCCGATACAATACATACCTCGATACAAAGGCCATGATACGATATGCTTTTCGATACGGTACAATTTCTATTCAGTACGATATATTTCAAATTGATTCAGTACGGTTCAGATACTAAAAGTCTTTATTAAACCACTAAGTTTGTGCAAAGTGAATATGAAAAATATTCCCCACCTGTTTTACTCAGTGAAAATATCAAAATAACTTTCTCTAAACAAGCAACACTATTGTAGCTCTTTATCAAAATAATTTAGTAAAATATGCGGAAAAAATGCTCTTGGCAATATATCGATACACCAGCTCATGATTTCGATACTGTATCATCAAATGAAATGACCCAATATATAAATATTTCAATATTTTTGCACACCCCTACTTTGAAGTAAATGTTACATTCATTCCACAAGAGTAATTGAAATCCTGATTTGAATGATCGCAATGAGCAAACAGTACAATCATTTCCTGAACAAACAAAACTGCAAATATGTTTGTAAATACTATTACTATTATACTATTATAAAAACATAAATCGTAATTTGAATTGTAATTGTAAGATTTGCCAGAAAACTCATATATATCAGATATTTTTATATAAAGCATCATGCAGCCCTAGTCTTTATAGGACAATCCTGGTGTCTTTAAAAAAAACTAATGTAATAGCATTCAATAATGATAGATGAACATATTTATACCTATTAAAGATACATGAGTTAGAGCAGGGGTGTCAAACTCAAATTCACAGAGGGTCAAAATTAAAAGCTGGGACTAAGTCATGGGCCAAACTAAATATTTATTGAAAAATGTCAACAACATCTGCATGTGCTCTCTTCTTTTGAGATATGTAATGTTAAACCTTTTCTTATTAAAATAAATGTTTAATCAAAGTTTTGCCTAAACACTGAATCCAGAACAAGCATAATATAAAAATAATTACACAATTTTAAATTAATATCTCTATACCCTATCTGTAGTCTGCAGGCCAGCTCTAATGCATATTTGATATGATCTTGTGGGCCAAATATAATTATAACGTGGGCCAAATTTGTCCCCCAGGCCTGAGTTTGACATGTCTAAGTTAAAGGGTATCTGGTAAGCAGTGTTGGGAAGTAAATGAATACATGTACTGAGAATACATTCTGAATAGTAATTTTGAGTATCTGTATTCTGGTGACATTAGAGTTTCATTTTTTGGTAATCAGTATTCAAAAATTACTACAATTAAAAGGAGTACATGACAGTACTTCATAGGGGTGTAACAGTACACTAAAATCACAGTTTGGTACATACCTCAGTTTTGAGGTCATGGTTTGGTTCATTTTCGGTACAGTTTGGGAACAAAATGCAAAACCATTTGATTGTTGCTTATTTGTGTTTTTTAACAAAAGTGAAAAGTGCTAAGTGCTAAGTGCGTGACAACCATAGTTTTGTGAGGATTCACGTGGTTTGAGGGACAACATAGTTTGTAATTATGTGACATGTTTTCTCACTGTAATCCAACGTGATGTAAAAGTATTCCAAATACTCAGAATATAGTACTCTATAGTAACAGGATGTTACATAAAACATTAATTCAGGTATTCACTCTTGTGTAACTAAATACATTTTCAAGTCTTTTTCCCATCACTGTTGGAGTGTAAGTGCTGGGAACCACTGGTCTAAAATAAACATCAAGATTTTTCTATAAAGACACAGGATATGTAGTCCTTTATAGATGACAGTGTATTAAATAATTGCAGACTTTGTGATTTGATAATTGCATCAAACTCAAATTTCGATTTGACTTCGAGTGACATATTGTGCAGCCCTATGGGAGAAGAGAAGGAAGAGGAGGAGAAGCTGTCTCTAAAGAGGAGGCTGAGACAGACATCTGGAGGCACAGGCAGCAGCTGGACTCCTGACAGGTTTACAGCCGGCCCACATGGACACTCTCATTACCGCTGTGACTATAACGACACTGGATTCATCATAGAGAAGCTCTACCCCAGTGTGAGTTTGAGCTCATGATCAGGAGACTCACACATCCTGAGCAGAGGCAGAGTGACCTTTGACCTGTTGGGACTGTTAGATGTATCATTCATTTTCAGGCAGCAACAATACAAAGAAAAACAATAAGATCTGCCGATATTTTTGAGCCAATATTTAGGGCTACATTTTTATGTCATTTTAATTTAATACAAACTTGACCACTGCTCTTTTTTTTTTACTTTACCCATAAGGAAACTGTGTAGCCATATTTTGTGCCATGTTTACATAAGTAACTAAGGCTCTGTGTGTGTTTTTAGGCAGCAGATCAACCTAAACAAAATATCGGCCTGTGCTGGAGGTGTAAGGCCCATAGGTGATGCTAAAAAGTCAAAATATTGGCCCAATTTATTGGCCAACCAATATTTTCATCTATCTCTAAAAAAAAAATAAAAATACAATTGCACTTCTTGAAGCATTATTCAGACACCATCATTTTACTCCTATTTCAACATTTTGGAAGCAAAAATTCTTACTTTTACTTACAGCTACGGTGAGATGAGGGACAAAAGCTTGATGTTGAATATGCTAAATGAAACATTTGTGTTGCTCACTCTGCCCATCTATCCTGTCAGATATGACTTTTTTTTTTCTAATTTTGTCCTCTAGACTTTGTAAATACCATGTTTTTGAGTTATTTTGTGTTTTGCCCCTCCAATTACATCAACGTCAAATTATGAAACAGATGTTATGTCCTAGCAGTTACTATTACTCTTACTTACAGGGGTGGTCTTGACTGCACTTGTATCCGGACCAAAAAAGACCTTGTGCATGTGTCAGATATATATATATATATATATATATATATATATATATATATATATATATATATATATATATATATATATATATATATATATATATATATATATATTATATATATATATATATATATATATATATTTATATATTATGTTCTAGTTTGCATATGACAATATTCATCCAAACGACTTAAAAAAGCAAGTCTTCTTACTTCTACATGAGAAAGCTGCAGTGCCCAGTGGGTCATATGTCGTAAACGTCCTCACAACAAAGGGTCAGCACCGTCTGTGGAAACTGCACATCACTCTGGTTAGTAGCAACTGTTTTTTTTTTTTTTTCTTTTATTATTATTTGCCCCACTTGGATCACTGATTAAGAAAAATAAAATTGGAGAACGTAGTAAGTACAGAGCAGTGGGCGTGTGCCTGTGGCGATGAAAATGGGGGTTGGTTGGCACTATAGCATGATTAAAGATTACTCAAACATCCACAAATCACTCCAAATATAACTCTGAGGGAGAAGACGAGAAGGCTAAACAGCTATAACATGCTTAAAATCTTGCTTCAAGTCAATTTAGGGTAATAGGTTTGCTTGTAAGCCAAAACATAAAATAAAAGCATGTGTTCTTTATTTCGTTTGTTAGTACAGAAAAGCATGTGCCTTTACTCTGAGTGGACTTGCATCTCCACAAACCTGACTCTTATTTGACCTGCTTGTTTCCATGAATGGAAATGTTGCAACCATCCCCATGAAGAATGTTGCAAAGTATAGTTTTTTAACTTTCGATTTGGACTGGAGTGACACTTTCAGAAAGTTGCATGCTCTACCTTTTAAGCTTACTTCTTCCTTCATTCCATCACTGACAAAGACTGGCCTCATCTAGCTCAGGAATCAAACCGGAGACTCTTTGGCTGTGGGGCAGAAATGCTAACCACTCTGCCAGGTCATCCACACAGGCTCTGGTTCCTCACAGTGACAGAAGCGTGCTCTCTGTCCCGCATGCCCTGCTCGCCACAGGTGTGTACACAGGTCCAGTATGTGGCCTGGAAAAACCAACAGTATTCTGACCATTAGCCGACTCTGCAGATGAACTGTGGAGAGGTGAGGGCCCATCCAAAACACTGTCACAAATACTGCTCTGATTAAACCAACAACACTGAGGAAGTGCTACAGAAGCAGACGTGAGTAGAGTAGCCAAAACTTACACTCGAGGAAGAGCCAAATCACTTCAAAATAATATTACTCAAGCTGATGTAAAAAGGAGTGGAAATCAAGTAAGAGTAGAAAGTAATCTCAAGTTCTCTCAAGTAATCTGATTTATACTTTATAATGAATGTAACCTCAAGGCAATGCCCAAAATCTATATTTTTCAAAGGATAAAATACAAAAATTATAAAAACTAAACCATATCAGAAGCAGCAGTGGAAGCAACACAAATGTTCAAAAAATATGGAAATTTTTGTTTCTCAGCAGCAATGCTTGCAGTTTATAGCTCATGTCAATCTTGTGTGTCAATCATCCCACATGTTTGGTTACCAGATTTGAAGTAGGACTGCACCAGAACTGAACCAGGACTAAACAAGGACTAAACAAGAGGACTGGCCTTTACTAGGACTGAAGGACTCTGCCTGTCTTCTATTAGGCTCATAGTGAGTAGAAAAGAGCAGCAGACTCCTCAGAACAGCCGCAGGAATAGAGTCTTTTTGATATTGATAAAATAGTTTTGACTTGAAAAGGCTTTTGATATGATTTGGACTTCATTTCATAGAAAAATCATATCCAAGTCAAAACAGCACAACACTGGTTGAATGCTCTATATTCTGATCAAGTAAAGAGCTCGAAGCTAAAACAAACCTTTATTATATTGTTTAGTGACTTTTATTTGCAACATGCGATTAGTCACAATTTAAGCGTGTAATTAATCCAAATTAAATATTTCAATAGCTACCCAGCTCTTTATCAACATAAAGCTTTTGTCACTTGCAGACTTATGTATTTATTTACTTATTTATTTATTAGGGATGTAACAATAACCAAAATATCATGATATCATATTGTCAAAGTTCTCACACTAATATCGTTGATCATCACAATATATCAAATTACAAGTCTCTTTTCTTAAATGAAGAGTTATGGTTCAGCAATAGCTAAAATAAGACAGAGGGGACTACATAGACCATGATCCTTTGCTCCATTTCAGTGTAGACTACATGAAGAAATAACAGTTCTAAGCACTTTTAAGTCTTACTTCTTTGGATTAAGTCCTGACAAGGCATTTTATAAGGAAAAAGTAGCGTATTCACAGTTTTGTTAACTCTACAAAATATCGTAATAAATATCGCACCCAGAGATTTGGATATTGTTACATCC